CAATGTTCCTTTCCAACTACCAAAGGTATTACAAAGAAGTTGGAGAAAAATGGATTGCAGCAAGCAGTCAAGTACACAAGTGAACTGACAGATGTAAGTCTCATTCGGAGAACAGACATTAATATACTACTTTTCATTTCTGAAAATGGCACACTGTCCTGTCAATAGACCATTTTCTTTGAGTTATTTCCTTTATAGCCGACACCCAAATTTTCATCTTTGGCTCTAACCTCCTGAGTTCCACACTCACAGATCCAGCTACCTACTAGATAAGACATTCCCTTACCTAGCTTAACAGGCACCCTAAATCTCAAAGAGAACAATGTCCAAAACTGAACTCTTGATTCTGTCTCCACCGAGTCTGCCCTCTTCAGGAGCCCTCCCTTCGGTCAACAACACTTCCACAGGCCCAGCTGCTGAAGACAGAATCAGGATGCCTGCTGATCTCTCTCTCCACCCACTGTAGCCAACCCTTCAGCGATCCGAGAGCCGTCACTCAACAAACATGCATCACGCCTGCGAGGCACCAGAAACTGCTAACCCTTCAGCAGTGAACGGACAGGTGCTGCCCCCAAGGGTGTCTGTCTAGTGACGGTCACCTTATTCTACAACAAAACAGGCCTCCAGCTGGCTGACTTCCCTCCATCTGCACTGCCACTTTCCTGTGCTCGGCCTCTGTCACCTCCCACTGGGAGGACGAGTGACAGCTTGCTTCCTCGTCCCTCTGGCTGTACTTCTGCGCCCCTCTAACCCGTGCTCTGTAAAGCAGCCACAATAAACTTTCAAACTGTACCCTGATCACGTTATGCCTTTATTTGAACCCTTCAACGGCTACTTATTTCACCTCTAGGAAAATCCACGACTCCAGCAAGACCTCAGGGTTTCGGTACGCACGTTTTATCAGGACACAGCCACACTCCTTCACTGACGCCTGCCCTCTGGCTGCTTTCACGCTGCGACGGCACGACTGTGCAGCTGCAGCAGAGACCACACGGCCTGCAAAGCAGAACATATGTGCAATCTGGCCCCTTGCAGAAAAAGCCTGCCATCCTTGCCCTACATGGTCTGGTCTCCCCTCACTCTCAGATACCCCGCCAACGGCTTGCCCTCAGGTACTGCGCTCCAGCTGCACGGCTCCAGCCTTTGCGCACGTTCCCGCCTCCGAAACGCTCTACCGCCATCTTTTACCCAGGAGCATCCGCTCACCCTTCACGGCTCAGCTGAAAGGGCCTTTCCTCAGGAGGCCTTCACCGATCTCCACTCTACACTCAAGTTTAGACATTCAAGAAATATCCTTGAACAAACAATGAGCTCTGACGTCACTTGCTCATTTCTATTTTTTTTCCCTCGTCCCTCAAAGGCTCGAGCATATATACGGATGGAGGGGCTGTCTGGGATTATAGATATTCTCGGTGGAAGAAGAAAACGTCACGAGAGCCAAGAGCATACTAAATCTCACCAAATCTATTTTATAAGCTGATGAATAAAGATTTTGGGTTTTTTTGGTGAGGAAGATTAGCTCTGAGCTAACATGTGCTGCCAATCCTCCTCTTTTTGCTGAGGAAGACTGGCCCTGAGCTAACATCGTGCCCATCTTCCTCTACTTTATATGTGGGACGCCTACCACAGCATGGCATGCCAAATGGTGCCATGTCCACACCCATGATCCGAACTGGCGAACCCCAGGCCTCCGAAGCAGAACGTGTGCACTTAACCGCTGCACCACCAGGCTGGCCCCAACCCATCTTAACCTGGACTGAATCTGCAGTCTCCCTCCAAAGGCCTCTTCGACGATGACTCTTCTGTCGGTTCTAAGTTTACACATACTTTTCACTGTGGGAAATATTTGAAAACAGCAGAAACAAGAACAGAGTCACAATCACTGACATGCTGGAGAGGATGCCACCCGTGCTGGTTTTACAGAGGGAGGCGCAGTCTGCACCCCAGTGTGGAGCGCGCGCCCTCTGCAGCCCCTCTCCTCCTTCCCGGGCCGCTGCCTGAGAGCGGGGAGTCGGGCGGGAACCCGAGACGGTGCTCGCCCCTCGTGGGGTCTGTGCCTTCTGCAGAGCCCTTTCTGAGGGGACCTGCGGCCGGTCGCTGTCCGAGGGACACGGGAAGGGGGAAGGGAGGAGAGCGGTTTAACTCAGAAGCCACACATTGGCAGGTCTGGAACAGACGTACACGTCGGCAACGCTCCCCGATCCAGCTTCAGTTGGTAAGAAAGTTCTTGAGATTTACATCCGTCTAATTTCCTGTGCTGTTACTATTCGCCAGTCAGCCCCAATTCCATAATCCTATATCCCAACTACAAGTACTATTAACACCGCTATTTTCCAGTGTAGTCAACACATCTCCCTCTTAAATGTCTTAGTCTAGGAAACAAGAGATAAAGGCCTAGAGACTTAAAGGTTAAAAAGTGAAAATTACACCCTACTTTCACACAACAGGCACTCAGTACTCTCTTGTGGAATAAATTTTACTTCAACAATTAGCTACTACTTTCATATCAAGTTTACTCTAATATTAGTAAAAGTAACAAAAGACCTAGTCTTAATACGACTATATACCCTGACGCTGACCCTTGTGTGCTCCTAACTACGTGAGCTAATGGCAATCGTTAATCCTGCTGCCCTGACTGATCATCACAAATTACAAATACTTTGCAACAGCAAGGATTCCAGAGTCATTTATATTTTTATGACAAAATTACTTTCTACTGACTATACAGAGCACATGTTTTCTGATGCCTTCTCGTCTGAATGCAAATGCAAAGAGCACGCGCAGTAGATCAGAGGGAGCTTCAAGCCCCAGAGGAGAGAAGCATCGAGCAGAGGCTAGGGGTGGCAGAGGTGACTAAGTGCAGGGAACTACGAACAAGAAGCAAGGACAGGTGTGTGGCCAGCAGCCACGGAGGTGGGCAAGGCCAGGGAAGCAGCTCGACCAGCACTGGTCTGGTGAGGACTGAGAGTCCAGCTCCCTCCGGGCCTGGCCACAGACCACAGGCAATGCCACGGCTTTGCCTGGCAGGCCTCAGGGGAAGCTGCCCTCCCCACACCCGACCTGGGGCCCAGCGGGCACACTGTGCTCCAGAGGGAGCTGCAGTGAAGGACCGAGCCTGCCCGCCGGTCAGCCACGCGCATACCCACATTTGCACTCCCAGCCGAGGTACCTCTGTTCAGAGGCCTCCCCACCAGCCCTCGAGAAGGCACTGTCCCCACGCTGACACAGTCCTTTTCCCATCCTCCGCTGCCCGTCAGTGGCAAGGCGGAGGAGCCCTCTGCATAGGCTCCTTGGCAGTGAGAGGGCTCTCTGCTGCCCTGCTCATTATCTGGCCAGAGGCCCCAGGTCCGGCCCAGGGAATGGAGCCCTGGGATGGCGCCCTGTCCTTGTCTCTTGCCTGCACTGGCCTGAAAGTGAATAAGGGCTTGACTGCAGCCTTCGGTTTGGCTCCTGGTCCTCACTGCCCACTGACACCTTGCAGCCTTGCAAGGCCAGAGGCCTGAGGCCAGGCAGAGGCCGTGCCCGAGCGAGGCCTCACTGTCCTTTACACATCAGGACACACTGCCACGGACAGGATCACACACTTGCCTAAGTCAGACTTGAATCTACAGAAAACTGAAGTTTTATACTAAAAGAGATTATTGTTTTTAAGCTGGAAAAGATGGAGACGCTGATAAATGGCAGCCCTCACCAGCCCACAGATGAGTATTTCAAATCTTAAGCAAGATGAGCATTTGAAGATTTTATATATGACACAGCAGGAAATACAGGTTAAATTTTTCCTGTATATCTGAGTGTGGTGGGGTAATTTTTTATCCTCATAATTTTTTCCCCACAATGGGCATTTGCTTCAGTTGACAAGCAAAGAGGAAAACAGTTCAAGGCTAGTGCCTTCCCTTTCACATCTCCGCATGTTTGGGCTGTGGGTCCCCTAAATCCCAACAGTCTGAAAGTACTGTCCAAGAGCATGGCCCTCATCAGAGGGTCAGCAGGAACTCTGAGCTGTGAGCCGGGCACGGAGGCTCTGGACCCGCCTCTGGCCTGTCCTGGGTGACCCGACGTGAGTCGGTGCATCAGAACCAGACCACCACGCCCCAGACAATCCCTTCCATCCCTCTGCTGTGAAGGCTCGGCTCTCCCCGCTGATTCCTGTGCGGAATCCCACCTCTGGTCCCGGCTCCTCTAACTCAGCCTACACACCACACCATTCCCAGACACGGCTTCCTACAATGTCAGTTTCATCAGGCCCCTCTTTGTCGCAAACCCTTTCATTTCTCTGTGCTGCCTACAAGATAAAAGTGCAGACTCCTCAACCTGCCAATCAAGAGCTTTTAAAATTAATTAAGCCCCACTTTGCTTCCTCGACCCTCCCTAGCAGGGTGTGCCTCAAGCTCCCCACAGATGGCACACACAGACACTGTTCATTCTAGCCTTGCTTGCTGTCATCTCTTTGCTCAGAGTACTCATGGTCAAGGCTGGCCGAAACGGCACTTCCCTTCACGAGGGCCTCCACAAATGTGGTCCAGCGGTCAGGACCATCGGATCCATGGGCAGCGCAGGTTCAGAGCGCAACTTCTCAAGCTCCACGGCACCCCTGGAAGGGAGCGCCTGGAGACCGAACCAGCAGTCTGCGTGGTAACAGGGCACCCAGTGATCCTCACGTGCACGACGCCTGAGCGGGCATCCACGCCCGCCGTGACAAGGCGACAGACCTGTCTCCCGTTTCAACCGAAGCTAAGCCGTGTTCTCCGGCACCTTGCAAGGCTTTCCTGTCCGTGTGGCTGCTCCAGGTGGGACGACGCCTCCCACCACTCCATCCCCGGGATCACTCAGTCTCGCCCCATGTCCAGAGCAGGAGCTCAGCTAACGGAGTCTGCGCATATGGACTCTTTCACGGAACGCCATCCCCCTCCTGCCCCCCAGAGAAGCCACACTGAACAGGCGCTTCCCCAGAGGTGGAGGAGGAGGAGCGGACACCGCCCATCACGAATCTGCCCCACCTTTGCTGCGACGATGCTGAGGCCCATCCCATTCTGCTTCTTCAGCGTCACGGTGATTATTTCCGGTTCCTTCCTCAGAGGCTGAGCCTAAGGATGAAAACAAAGGTTCATCTCACAGCTGAAATGGAGGTGCTTCTGTGTGCTTAGACAACTCACCATTGATCTACTCAATCATATCCACTCCAGCAAACGGGGACAGGAAACAGGAGAGCGGGAGAGGAAATGGTACAACAAACTCCATTACTACAGATCCTCGTCACGTATTCATCTGGTAAAGCAAATACGAACGCTCTTGACTCGAGCGTCTTGAGACGAATCGAGTCATGAATGCTATTTAAATGTTATTTAAAGAACTTCACTTATAAACTTCCATTACTATCAAGGTTTAGAAAAACCTGATCATAGGACAAAATTAAATTTTTACTTTATTACCTTTAAGAATAAATTACTAGGTGTTTTTTAAAGAAAAAATTAAACTTATTTTACACTATCTATGGGGAGGATAGCAAAAAAGAGTTATAACAAAGATGATCTAACATTATTATCTCTTGGGAAAATGCAAATCATTTTATCTTAAATAGCAAACACAGAGAAGCCACAGGCTCCAGGCAGCTGTGTTCAAACTGCTCCGTTGTTAAGTGAAGCCCTCCGGGCTGGGGAACCAACCTGGGGTGACCGAGTTATGGCCCCGTAAGGCAGGTCAGTGCTTGAACAGATCCATCAAGGAATGAGCAAGTGAGCTGACCCACTGAGGTTACTTATGCATTACAGACGTCATACCTCATACAGACGAGTCGACACAATTAAAGAAGAAAATGCCAGCGCACACACACTAGAGGAGGATTTAGTCAATTAAATATGTACATATGAGGGCACACTGCCAAGAAGTGACCATTATACATAGGGCTTATTAATTTGGAACCGAAGTCTGTGAGAGAATATTTTAAGGGAAATAAATAAGATTAGGTGACCTTAGGATTTTTTTTAAATCAGGACCTAAAATCTCTTGAGGGATCTGTGAATAAACTAGAAAGATAAAGACTCAGAGAGTCTCAGACAGCACTTGTTTTTCTACAACATCTGGAATCAGAAATTATTACTTGGGATTTGCCAAATAGCAGCTAGTAGGGCAATAAAGAGCATCAGAGGCATCTTCAGTCCATCAGTAGTTACAGGCCATCATTGTTTGTAACAGCACAATCATCAACTCACTCAGTTTTTGGAGATGGATCTGATACGTGCTCAAACCTAAAGTGTGCTTACTAAGCCGTAATAAATGACTTCCCTTGAATTAATATACAAAACATACATCACATTCTTTATCTTACATTAAGTACTGCCTCCTCACATAACCTGTTTTCTTAGAAATTAGGCACGTCACAGGCACACTGTTCTGATCGACTACCAACTAATAATCTAGGACAGCACGAGAAGGTCTCGGAAGCTTCGGAGACTCATGGCTGTTTCTCACATACGGACTCTGAATCTTGGAGGAGGCCGAGGCGCGCTGGTCTATTTTCCTGCCCTCTGGGGACAGGTGGACGGACAGGCGACTAAACTGCCACAACCAATCAGGCATAAGACAGCACCCCTTCTCCACAGTAACCGTGACAAATGAGCTACAGCTGCTCACTCCTTTGGACCCTTAAGTGGCTTAAGAGATGAAAATGGTAATTACAGAAAAATATTTAAGGTAAATGAAACTGAACAAAATTCGAGGAGGAAAAACTTCATTTGTTTAAATATTTTCTGGACTGATCTATTAAACAAAGATATGCTGGCATATGTAGTAGAAGACAGCTTGGCTCTGGCGTCCCTTTCTACACCTTTCTTGTTTAAAACTCTATATGAAGCAAAGGGGAATTTCCCTTAAAACGCAGGAAGCTAGTGAATGTTGGGATTGACCACTCTTTCAAAAAGATAGGAAATGTTAGTAAATTGATTTGATATATATTTAAGACAAGGTGGAACCAAGTATAAAAAAAAATACTTTTTTAACAAAGAAATATTTTCTTATAAAATCTGTCAAGGCTACCATATTGCATATTTTTAAAAGATGTATTATCATTAAGGCTGGTATGACTGTGAATATAAATATTCCTTATTTTTAAAAAGTACCATCTGTTTACAGATTAAACTGTACAGACATGCCCTGAAAACAAAAACATATATATATAAATTGTGGGTTTAAGATTTTTTTAATAAAATTGGTATTTAAAGGTGATTTAAAATTTTCTTAACGCAACAATCTTCACTATAAGGAACGAATTTGCATCAAATTTTCAAATCATAGGGAATACATTTATTTTCCTAGTCCATCTATCATCCTCATGATACTTGCCAGTTCTGTGTTCTCACGCATGAGGTGACTTTCATAATCTGCACCTTCAAAATATATTGTCCAGGTACCTGGTGAACGTGCATGAGGAATTAACCTGCAAAATCCTGAGGAGAAAACAAGCAAACTGTAAGACTGAAAAGCACACTATGTCAGACACACAATCTTCACAAGGGAAGCAACATACAGCATCGACTGCTTAACAGCTACTGACAATATTTACTTTTCTTACTCTACACATTTGTACCCTCTGAAAATTGAATTTTCAGACATTTAAAATCACATATTTAATCCTGGTCCGATGGAATTTCAACACCAAGCAGAGAGTGAAATTGGTCTCCCCCTCTTCTTTGTTCCAAAGAACTTCCTTTCTTACGTCTATGAGGAATTACTGAATTGCACTGCAATCACCTCCTTGCAGCTCTCTCTACTCCACTCGACTACGCGCTCCTCCATAAGATTCAGGATATCTCGTTAACAAAGGCACAGGAAGGAGGGACCAGAGAAGGACACTACCGTGAATGCCTGCCTCGCTAGCAGACACTGAGTTCCGTGACATGATTTCACTTGTCTAGCAATTCCGGGTTACGATGGGCCCCTTCTCATGACTCTGTCCAAACTTTCTGAAAAGTCATACTCAGAAAGTTAAAGTTCTTAAAATTTCTTACAAACTAAGTTCTTACAAATAAATTTTAAAATCATTTTGTAATGTTTTAAAGAATATCTTTGATACTTTCATCAGGGGCAGATGACATCTTTACAAAACTAATTGAACTGTCAATTCAAAATATGTCATGCTTCATTTAGTCAGATCTTATTTTGTGCTTCTGGAAATTTTTTGCCAAAGCTGTATCACTTAGGCCTTGCACATTCTTGCCAAGTTTTCTCCAAAGTGGACTTCCTGTTACGAGCAGCAAAGAACCATGAAGGGCACACGACTGTGTGTCACTCTCTATACCAAGAGCTTCCGGGAGCACTCGGTAAGGTGAACCCTTGGTGACCCAGGCACTGGTCAGGGCCCAGCTGGCATCAGTGGCACTCTGATCCACGCTAGTATTCCACCAGTGAGGCTATTTTTGGCTATTATTTTAGGACATTTACAAGGTTGTTTGTGGTATAGGGAAAAGAAGATGTCACAAGTATATTTAGTTAAAATAAGGGTATAAGTTAACTTTACTTAGTTCTAGTCCTTTAAAAAAATCACTGTTTCGATCAGTTTCACTAAAATAGAACCTACAAATTACTCCTCTTTCCCATTTCAGGGAATCATAATTACCACGGTTCTGAAATTTCAACAATTGTAACTTATTTTCTCATCTTTTCAAACGTCAGGTTTCTGTGACAAGTCTGCCACACTGGAAGTAGACACTTTGCTTCCCTAGCTTAAGGAATGCAGCTCAGATCAGGTAGGAGTCCATGCTGGTTTTATAGCCTTCTCCCACAGAAATGCATTATATGAAAAAAACAAAAGGAATATAAATTGAGAGCACACAGTAGTTCTTTATCTGGCTTACAAAGAACTGGACGTGAGGAATTAAAAACAGTGATGTCATAGAAGAAGACACCCAACCCTTTGTAAGTCTTGAAGGCACCTCTGTACTAGGCTGCACTATCCTCTAACACATACGAAATAAGGTGGCGGTGCCAAGACCGCGATGAAACATCCCTGACACCCTAAAAGCAATCCTTCAAGGGAGCCTGAGGGGAGGCACAGGGAAAGCTTCACCATCAAGTCGAGACCTCAGCACTCGCAATTGGGCAAGTAGCTACTCCACGGCACGTTACACAACTGGCAGCTGTGCACACGCCAGATTGACATATCTGGAAAACGCTAGATGGTGAGTCTGCCCACACGCCATTCACAGATGTTAGCGAAGAGCAGCAGTGGGCGAGCACAGGCCCGGTGCTGGGGCTGAGGAGCAGCTGAGCCCGTGCTCCGGGACTCACATGCACTCCAAATGCTGTCCTCGGCCTCAGGAGGGACCCGGGACTCCATCGGGGGAGGCGGCTTAGGCGCTGGGGAGAGGATGCGGTTTCCAGGTGGAGGGATGCCTGACGGGAACTGAAGGAAATAACCGAAGGCGCGTCCGCCAAACAGGAGGAATGGGTAGGAAGGGAAGAGCATGGATATGCAATGACGCACACGGCGTGTGGACTGGAGGCAGGCAGCAAGGCTGGAGGGAGACGACGCACGCTCAAGGGGGCACGGAGGACCGTACTCCTGCAGGCGATGGCCGAAGGGAAGAGGGGAGAGCCAGGCAAGAGGCGCTGGGCGTGCTTCGAGGTGTGGGATGCAGAGCGCAGCGCGGGCCGGGGGCGAGGCGGGGCCCCTCTGGCAGGCCCCCTGCTCGGGGACGCCACTGCCTGCCTGAAGCTTTCTCAGAGTGCGCTGCAGCCCCGTCCCCTTCCTCTCCCCAGAACTGACGGCGACACGGGAGCCAGGGCCCAGGGCTGTCCCTGCCCCACCGGCCCTGAGCCGCCACCAGGGTTCCCTCGAGGGCCACAGCCCAGCCTGCCTCTGCTGCTGAGCGGAGCGCCATCTACCCTGCGGGGCGGTTCAGGCGCCTGCTGTCCTGCAAACACATTCACTACAAGCAGTGGTTCTGTAACGTGAACTTTTTAAACCAGCAACACCTCTGAAGACATAAAAGCCTATTTATTGTGGTGCGTAAAACACTCATGGAAATTAAAAAGCACACTCACTCAATTTATATACCTATGGACATAAAACCTTACTTTTCTATTATTATTCTTATTTGTTTAAACTAACTCCTAAATTGTGGGTCTAGATTTCCACTCACCTGAGCTCCACACTGCAAAACAGCAGCAGACCGGGACTGAAAGTTGGTCTAATTTAAAAGCTCAGGCTTCAGGATTAAGTGTGGCATTTGCATCAACATGAAAATGTAAAAAGGCGCATAATAAAACCAGGACAGGGCTTCCACTTGTGTGAAAAAGGCTGGCGTCTGGGTCCCCAGCACACGCGGTGCCAGCCCAGCGCTGGCGGCAGCGCTCAGACTCGCCCTGTGCCGCAGGTCCCAGTGCTCCACGAGCAGCGCGCTCAGCCCCCACCGCACAGCCACCGCAGATGAGAAACCCCGGGGGACAGACTTGGCCTCAGAACTCAGGCCACTGGTTCCAACGCTCATGCTGCTCTGAACGATTCTCCCTGCTGGGACGACACATGGTCACAAGGCCGTGCTGATCGACAGAGCGACCAAGCTCACACAACAGCAGGAGGCAGGGAGGAGCAATGAAAGGTCCTTCCCACCAGCCCAGGCGGAAAGGGGATCACGGAACCAAGTGAGCGGAGCGCGTGCTCACAGGGGGGCAGCGGACACCCACAAGAACTCTGTGTCTGCACACTTCTGACCCGCGTCACCATGAAATGCTGACTTCCAAGTCACTGGAACAGAGACTTCTCCAGAAGCACAGAGGGTGCATTGGACTCGCGGGGACTGCCATAGGAGAACCCATCATTAGGCAAACGCTCGCTCCAACCCGGGTCACGGGTCAGACTTAAGGCAGCGAAAGTGAGATTTACCTCTCTGGCACAGAGGGTCTAAAAACTCTTGTAAACCGTTTGGCATGTTTCTGACGACATCGCAAGAATAGCCATCTTCTGGCAGAAGGAAAGGCAGCTGCAGGTCAGGATCCTCTTCCAGCTGCACCTGCCTGCCATCACTGCGCGCCAGCTCGTCAGCCGTGTTCTCAGCCACAGCCACTACGCTTCCTATCAGATCCTGCTTACAGAACAAACGCGGAATTAGAAAGAGATCCCAAGGGACTGGCGCAGTTGACCAATAATTACTCAAAACAAGGTTCAATCATTTGCAGCGTGGTTATATGCATACACGCAGACCTACGGAGGGAGAACAAATTTATCCATATATTCAAAATCAGTTTGTAAAGCAACAAACTACTAGCAAAGCACACACTTTTAATATATGAACCAAGATACTACGTTGTTTATTTCAAATAATTTGTAGCTTTAAATAGAAACTGTTCAATCACAAGAAAATGGTTTCTTTCTCTTTTTAAAAGTAATCATTTTTTCCTTGCACAATTCTTTAATACCCACTGGTTAATTATCCTCTTTTTGTAAAAATGTTTAATGACACAGGAAAAAGCTTATATAATGTTAAATCTAAAAAATCAGAATGAATATATCTATTCCCAGCTTATACAGAGGCTGTTCCTGAATTATGGGTTTATGGGTAATTTCTGTTTTATAACTTTTTATTAATATATAATATACACACAGGAAAGTTCACAAATCCCAGCTGTACAGTTCACTAAGGTGAACACCAGCTTAACATACCACCCAGCTCACGGACAGAACACGACCCCCGAGGCCGCCCCTCCCGACCTCCTTCCCTGAAGTCCCGCCACCCTGGCATTGAGCACCAGCCTCCGGCGTGTTCTCCACAATCATACAGACAGAAGCACATGGTGGATACCCGCGTCTTTCCTTGTGCAAGTGCTGTCCTACCAGCACCAAGCCGCAGTGCAGGCACAGCGTCCTCACTGCAGTGCGGTGCCCTTTACACAACCATGGTAAGATCCACTCACGCCCCGCACTGTTGGGGGACCTCTGGTGATTTCCAGCTTTTGGCTATTTTGTATATTTCTTTTGTAGGCATAAACTCAATCCAGGAGGTCAACCATTCACCTAATTACCTTATCTCTCCATCTAATTCTCAGGACACCTGCATCAAGCTCTGATTTGCTGGCAGCAGGTGTTAGCAGCATCTCTCACTTGATCAACTGCCTGCTGTAGCATACGCTGGACTGGGTTTCTCACCCCTGTCCTCTCGTGAGAAGCAGGAAGGCCAACATTCCAGACTGTCTGGATGAGAACCTGGAGTTTCCCAGCCTCTGCACAGGCCGGGGGGGCGGCTGTGCGGTGGCGGGGGGAGGGGGGGGGCACCTGCTGCTGCTGTTGACAGGCAACACGGGGACGTGACTCGGCACTCAGCACCCGTGATGCGAGGACTCCCACGACTGTGGCAGCAACTTTCGGGCCTCTGGGTCGCAGGTCACAGCGCTGTGCCCAGGAGCTTAAGAGTCCAGGGCAACTTCCGAACTTCCTCCCTCCCACCCTTCCAATGATTTCCAGAAGCTAATTCCCTGAATTAAATCCCTTTCTACTTAAAATGCTTGTGTAGTTTCTACTTCCTGTACTGAACCCTAACTCATACATCAGCAGCAAAAACGATCTTGTAAGATGATTAAGTAAGTGAGCCTATTTACTAAAGAAATAAGGTAACTTGCAAACGTGTCCACACTGTGGAGTGCGGGGCGGCTCACTCACCGCTGGGATGAAGGGCTCGTCGGGCGCACAGTGATAATTCTGCAACAAGGCTTGAAGCTGCAGGGAATTTAACTTAAAGCAAGTGCTGTTTATGTTGGGGATGTCCTCAGGTGCATACTTATCCATCGTGAGCAAAGTGGTTGCCTATTAAAAGAACAGATGCCATGAAATGTCGTAATTTAAAAGCATTTCACGAATAGTCCCCTTTATGTAACGTCTGTAAAACTGTACTAACTTGCTAACATGATTTTAAAATGCAGGATGTTAAGTTCCATTAACATCAACCGTACACATTAAACGAAGTGAAAGCATTGTCTAGTAAAGGTTCTTAGATGGCCTCTTAACTTCACTAAAATATATATGTATAATGAGATTTATTTACATTCATAAAGCATTTAAAAAATTCTCTTAGAAACTTCAGACATTTACATAACCATTCAGATTACCGATTAATGGGGTCTGAATAAAGTTTCATTGTAATGACCTTTTTTAACTAGCTGACTCAAAGTGCGAGAGTAGTGGCCTCTTTCTATACTAAAGAGATTAAGAAATTAAGAAAAAATAAAAAACTATACACTGTAATAATAATACAAATACCACCCAGGTTTTGAATGTCTCAGAAATTCCCTCAGAGCTGACTAAGGCATTAGGACACAGCCGTGCTGCACTCCTTCATTCCTCTCTTCCTCTCTTCCTGTCTGGTTTGCTGACTTTCTGGGGCGGATGCTGACTCCTCCTCCATCTTTCGCGTATCGCTAAAGGTTTCTGCTGTGTGGTTACCTGGCTTTGTGTTCTTGAGAGCTAATTACCACCCATTTTTAAACTGGAATTTATCTTTCAGTATGAAGCTTTACGAAACATACCTTACTGATCTCAATAAAAAGGACCCTTTAAGGATATTTATTCTACTGGTTACCACCTGCTATGGGCTGAAATGTGTCCCCTCAAAGCTCATATGTTGCAGCCCTAACCCCATGTGCCTCAGAAAGTGGCCTTATTTGGAGATAGAAGGGTCTTAACAGAAGTGATCAAGTTACAATGAGGTCAGTAGGTCTCACGTGACTGGTGTTCTTATAAAAAGTGGGCATCTGGACACAGACGGGCACACGGGGAGAATGTCCTTTGAAGAGGACGGCTGAGATCGGGGTGACGCATCTGCACACCCAGGAACACCAAAGGCGCCAGCCTACCAGCAGCTGGCGGAGAGGCCGGGACAGATTCTCCCGCAGCTGGAAGGAGCAGACCCCGCCCACACCCGATCTTGGACTTCTGGCCTCCAGGCTGAGACAGCAAATTTCTGCTGTTTAAAACAAGCCACCAAGCTTGTTGCAGTCTGTAACAGTTACCCGGGCAAACTACCACACCGCTGTTTCATCGTCTGTACACATGGAAAACCCCAATAGGGCGTGCGGAGGGCTCGCTGAGTCCCAGTCCTCACCCACGACAGAATCACAGCCCTTCACAACGAGGTGCCTGAGCCATGGGGCAGCGAGATGCAGCACGCCCACCTGCACTATCCTGCTGAGGTGACAGTCGGCAGCCAACTCCAGGCCCTGCTTCTCTGCCCATGCCTCAACGTGCCCCAGCTGCTGGCGGATGATCGCCCCCCAGTAGTGGGAGCACAGTCCCGACTCGGGGTCCGTCACCAGTCTGTTGAACAGCCACATGTTGATGAAGTGGAAGAGTTGAGAGAAGAGCTGGATGGTCAGCGCGGCGTTCACTCTGCAGCGTCGCAGCAGAGACATGGCGCCCGTGAGCGTGTGCAGGACATCGTCTGTGCAGAAAAGCAGGACGGAGACAGGGCCCCGAACGTCATTCACCGAGAGTCTTCCAAATGAGCAGTAAATTTACATAATGGTAGCAATGGCACCTATCGGTACTGGTAACAATACTTGTATCGTAACAACAAGACCTGTATGGTAATAATACCTATTTAGTCACCTCTAAAATACCAATCTCATTCAAAGAGGAAAGGCGACGTGGTCTCCAACTAGACAGATACTAACTAACTATACTTATTTAAGTTCACCCTAAGAGACTTTCTGAAAAAGTATGACCAGAATGACACACCAAAATGATTTACTATTCTCTAATAAAACACGGTAGCAAAATTTATTATTTGAAAGGATGCGAAATCCAATAGGACATCTCATCTATTTAAAAAATATCTCCCTCTTACATCTATTCTATATTAAATGAGGTTATATAGGAGAGGGAAGCAGGGGCGGAGGAACGGAAGGAAAGAAAAGAACATCCTCACCTATTTTCGGTCTTTGCAGACTGTTCTCTTCCGGGTCATCCAGAAAGGCTGGCATATAATTATTCAGTTCTGATTGAAGACAGTGAACCAGATATCTGAAAATATGGAAAGAATTTTATTAATCTCAGCATGACAACATTGCTGTTGTCAGGCAGGATCCCACATGTGAAACAATGTGGACTGTTTAGAAACATTTTCCATTGAAAAAACAGAACAGCTTTACTCTCAGGATTCTTGAAACATAGCTCACTAAATTCAATTTATTAAGTCAACAAATTTTGCACATAGTTATTTATGCTTCTTGATATTCATCTTCAATCAGGGTAAATAAAAACCTTTAAAATTAGTCTTGAAAATTCAACAAGAAAACTTATGATTTAAATCTTTATAGAATAGTGTCATCTCCAAAAACGTGTTCCTTACTTAAACGCCATTTGAACCAAGTGTGCTAAAACATCTTGGGCATCCAATGTGATTCGACTGAGATCTCGGTCCTGCTTGATGAAGTTGAGAAGCTCAGATGCGTTTGCCATCCAGAAAGCAAGAGCCCCTGCAATGTTCTTCTGTTTCTGCAGACAGAACACATGTCCATAAGCAACCACAGGACAAACCAAAGCAGCAGAAATAAAAAGGAATGCTCTTTAAAAGCTGCTGAAGATAGACCAGTACCTTCCCATTCTCACCAAGGTATTTACCACAGATACCAGATAGGTGCAGAGGAATTTGGTGAAACACAGCCATGGGCGATGAACACCCCCCACCGCAGCTTCCTTTGAGGATTCACGTACAGACACATGGGTCTAATTAGCCACAACTCATGGAACCAGTGGAGAAATGGAGATATCAGATACCACCAGGCCAAATTGGGAACTGTGCATTATCTGGTAATCTGTGAAGTGTACACACACGTATCCATGGTTACCCACAGCCACCCTGACACTCAGAGTCACTGGGTGGACACCAAGCAACTCGGTATCAAGTACTGATCCATCACATCCTCTCCCGACCACATGTGCAGGCCAGGCAGCCTCAGATGAGACCCAAAGAATAGGAACCAAGGGTAAACAATAAGGAGAAGAAACAGAACTTGTCATTTCATATCCACACTGAAGTGCATTAAGCAGAAATTATGAAATGCTGATAAAGGTTGCACAGTCAAAAAAGGATTTTAGTACTGCATGTTTCAGTTGCTGAATGAGTGTTATGAACTGTTCAGTCCAGCTGTAGTATCGTATTTTGACATGGAAGCAGCATGAGAAACTCAGCTAAGCCAACATAGCTAGGATCAGCTCCCAGCAGTATGTCCTACCTGATCAACCTGGTCTACTTCCTGGAGAAAAACAGACGAGGGGAAATCAAGCAGAACGAGAGAAAGAAACTTGTAAACAATCATGATAGTTTAAAAAAATCAAAACACTAATATGAAGGTACGACATGAAGGTACGACATTTAGTTATGTTATTCCCAAATTACACATTCATTTATGGCACTGAAGCAGCTGTGGAAGCGGCATAAACAATTAGTTCTCTGTTCTTAACACTGGCACAATAACTAAGAGAACTCCCGGAGTTTATAAAGAAGATGTTACAGTCAACACATGAACATACCGATCTCTTTAAAAGATTTAGAAAGGAGGGACTTCTCACTGTCTTTTAATTACACTTTGTGTTTCACTACTTAAAGGTACACCACGATGAGCTATTCCCCTAGGTTCATTAATAAGAATGAAAGAGACAGGAAAGACCAACAGAAACAGTAAAAATAAAACTTGAGAATTTAAAAATGTATAAAAAAACTTATACTAAAAAGGAGTGAATTGCTTTTGAAAGTAGGTTTTTACAAATTAAAGAATTTAAATGATTCATTACCATCGCTGTTTTCTAAAACTTTAAGATCCCTCCAATCACATACTAAACCTAACTCTGAAGTTTAAAAGACTGGTTTTGATAATGGCAATTTCACTAACTAGTTCAAATTCAATACGGAAAAGTCTATCAAAAGTAGTTTGACGACAGGAGTTTCACAATTTGAAACAGGCTTTAGAAACCCAAACAGGACGGAAGACAGACAATGGCTCTGAATGACAACTGAAAAGGAAATCCACATTTGATTATAAAATAATGAGAGGAACAAAATGGTATCCAAATAAAATGGCTTTCCTTTTTATCTACTTCCTCACTTGGGTAAGAGAATAAAAACCCCATCAAATTTATATGCTAACCACTCAAACATAAAAGAAACATTCCTTGAAAAATTCTGGCCTTTTAAAACAATTCTGAGGGAATTAAAAGATTAGTTTGCCTCAATTTATCCTGACAGGAGAAACCCACCGAACCATCCAGTCACGTTACTTCACGTCGCACAATAGAGCTACAGCTGAATAACAGCACTGATGATGATTTAGGAAAAACTTCTAAAAATCTGTAAATTTAATTTTAAGGACTTGAAAGATTAAATCTTCAAATTATCTGTAAGTTGTGAAAACTCTTAGGCCAATTTTATCAACTATAGATAGAAAGTAATTAAAGGAAATAAATCATTCTGCCAAGAGAACACCCTTACTTCTGGAAATTTTCAAAACAGGTTTATGAAAGAGCTGGAACCTGAGTTTCATCGTCATGTCCATTATACCCGTATAAGGGCTATTAAAAAACCCAGACGATTAGTACCAACATCATAGTAGGCTAATTATAAAAAAGCAAATGCCAGGGGGCCGGTCCCATGGCTGAGTGGTTAAATATGCACGCTCCTCTTCAGAGGCCTGGGGTTCAAGGGTTCGGATCCTGGGCTCGGACCTATGCACCACTCACTGAGCCATGCTGTGGTGGGAGCCCACATAGAAGAGCTAGAATGACCTACAAGTAGGATATACAGCTATGCACTGGGGCTTTGGGGAGGGAAAAAAAACAGCAAGAAAAAAAAGGGAGGAAGATTGGCAACAGATGTTAGCTCAGGGCCAAACTTCCTCACAAAAAAGAGCCAAGGCCTTCTTATAACCAGTAGAAAATTCTACGGTGGTTGCCAGGGAATGGAGGAAAGGGTGCTGGGGAGAAGATGCTTAACCGGTAAGAAGTGTTACTCTGGGGTGATGGGAAAGTTCTGGAACCAGACAGAGGTGGTGGCTGCAAAACACTGTGAATGTACCAAAAGCTACTGACTCATTCACTTAAAAATGGCTAATTTCATGTTAAGTGACTTCCACCTGAATAAATTATTTTTTAAAAAGTTGTAAGAAAACCCACAACAACTCCTTTCTCACAACTACTGCAATTTTAAGGGTCTTTTTCATGACCATTATGTTACCACATACAGTTCTTCCCTTACTGTAAAGTTTGTAGGAAAGAAATAGAAAAAAGTTTCTAATTCCTTTCAGCTTTTAAAGCTATACAATCAATATTATTTATCTACCTTTATTCTCAAAATAAAGTCAAACACATCACCAAATCCGGCAAGTTACAGAGACTGCCTTGGTCTAGAAGTTCCGGCCGCGAGGACTGCAGCGGCGGCGCGGCGGCTGTGCTCACCTGGATCACCCCTTCCATCATGCTCACCATCTTGTTGACGATCGCAATCACCTTGTGCGTCCGCTCCGTGGGACTGACGTCGGGCCTGTACTGGCTCGACAATACATACCGACAGGCCATGTATAACACGTACGTAGGGGACAGCTTAAAGTGGACTGTAGAGCTATTCGTGTAATTGATAATGGCAGATAAAAATGAATCTTCAGCTGCGAAGAGTTCAAAAAAGGAGAAAAAAGAAAAACCCATGAAAATCAGATGGAGAAAAACGGAACGAGAAATAATTCACTAACAACGGACTCTGAAATTACTCACCACTCTCCCTGAATTCAATGCTTGCAGGCAATATGAGCTCAGGCCCAGGAAGATCCTGAGTTCTGAAAGAAGAACGTTGCCATCTCTTAAACTCAGGTCACACAGCTAATAACATCATCGACAACCTGTGCAGATGTCTGCAATGATTTTTTAACTCCCCATATAGTTTTTCAAGTAACACACAGCCCAAGGCAGTGCCTCGTTTTCCTACATAACCTATTCAAATATCCGACGAGCGCGCTGGGAGCGATCACATCCCAGCTCCTCACAGAGGTCAGTTCCTTGAAGTATCTGCTTCCGTCCTGAGAACAGATCTGAAAACAGTCTCCATTATTAACGAAGACTCTGTGCGGAGGACGGAGACCGGGCTGCTGTGCACCTGCTGTGGTGCTGGCTCAAGTGCCTGCTGGGGACACGCGGAAAACCTAAACCACGCTGAGCTTGAAACTGAGCTCTCATACATGAAAGAGGAAAACTTCCTAAGAGCCAGACATGGTCTTCTCTCCTGAGAAAGATAAGACGACCCCGGAAGGTCCCCTTCAGCCATTCAGTATCAGCATTTTTCACAGTGACACACGCCTTAAAAAAACATATCCTACTCACTCACATTTCTTCTTAAAGTCACATAAATCCCAGGGATTTTTCATCATTTAGCCTGACACTACAAAAATAAGGAACTGTCAAAAAATATAAACAAAGAGAAACTATACTTTGGAACCTTTCTGAGAACTAGCACTGTATTAATGTGACGTCCTTCCAGGCACTCCAGATCAAATTAACCCAAAGGTCAGCAACATTTCTATTCCTATAAAAGAGTTCTTCCAACAGTGGGTCACCCTGCCCCCACTGGTCGGATGGAAGGTGGGCAGTGTTACGGGAAGTCTTCTCCCAGTTATAAATATAGACACATGTAGGTACACGTCCCCCAGGGCACCATGAAAAGCATGACTGTGTTACGCACTGGAGTCAAAAACATTTGAAAGCCATTAGTAAGAAGAGACTTTCTAAAACGTGCCAGACAAATAACTACAAATCCAGTTTAGATCTCATCTTAATAGATTCATACTTTTCTAGATGGATAGTGTTCAGTTTTACTCTCATTTAGACATTCGATCAGAATTTCAAGCAATTTAACTATTACTCTAATTCAGTTCGCTACTAGTCATATTTTATGTATAACATTTGTGTTACCCAGCCCCGCCCCCAAAATTACAAATACCCAAAGGATTAGTTTAGCAGTTCAATATCTTTATCATTTTAGTTCAACTTTAACAGAGATAATTCTCCAAAAATCTGTCCTTGAAAAGATAAGAAAATTAAAACTGACAGCAAAGCAAAGGAACCTGTGTTCTGTCTTTCTGCAAACATAACTGAAAATTAAACAGTGGGGATCATAATGACTTTACACTGGAATGAAAGAGCTATTGAGATAACTATTGGCTCAAACCAAACTGAGGTCAATATTTATTCAAATAAATCTTCATATATGGTGAAATGGAAAGTCAACATAGTTATCAAAATATTTGAATTTATTCTTGATTCAAAATGACAGTCATTTTCTGCAGCAACATTTAAGTCTATCAATCTTAGACAAATGGCTAATAACCTACCAGAATTAAACATTTGGAATCATTGGTATATCCACTCATTAAATAAGTTAGTTCAAATAATAAAAAACTTTTTCAAAAAAAACCCTATGATGATTACAGATTTATACATTATATACTAGCTAACTAAAATAACTCCTTTCCAACAAACAAATGTTCTCTTCCGTTCATTCTCATCTTCTCCATGCATCAAAAGGTAAGGAGAAAATACGATGTGAGTTAACTCAAACTATTATAATCATTAAAAGTAAAACCAAAAATCTTCTTTTCATCAAATTATATGCTTCAAAATTTATTTTCCAGTCTATGATTAAATAATTTGGACTTAACAATTTAGCTATAAAAGATGCTCTTATAAAAATAGATAAATTCTCGAATATTTTACATCTCTCTTACACCACCACATTTACAGACATCTAAAATTGCAGATAAGCAGTTATTTTCAATTTAATATTCATAAAATGAACCTGGATAAACTTTATCAATTGTTAATATTTCATTAATTTAACAAATCTAGTAAAAGTGAGGAATTTAAATTCTTATTGAAAAAAATTTTAAAATGGCAGTGATAATTTAAAAGTCATTCCCATCATTCAAAAGGATTTTTCCTTGACTAAAATTAGTGTTTCAAACATGCTTATTAAAGTGACTCAGATTTTTATGAATATAGTCATGCATCACTTAATGATGGGGACACATTCTGAGAAATGCGTCATTAGGCTGTTTCTTCACTGTGTGAACATCATAGAATGTATTTACACAAACCTAGATGGCATAGCCTACTACACACCTAGGCTAAATGCTACTTATGGGACCGCCGTCACATATGCAGTCCACCGTTGACTGAAACATCGTTACGCAGCACACGACCATACACCAGTTAAGTACTGCTTACACCAATACTGTATATGTGAAAAACACAAGGGCTAAAAATGGGAAAAATCATGTTTCTATCACTGTCTTAATATCAACAAAATAACATATTTATAGGTCAAATAAAACCTTTAATAAAGTCTTTGCAAAGCAAAATAATCTGACCTTGCAAGAAATTAATTAAAATATATGCTCACAGAATAAAATAATTTCTGACATACAATGAACTATCATCTGGCTATTTCGACACTATATTAACATAGCTTACTTATTAATTTTGCATATCCTAAAGCATTATCCTAATATCTTTCCCCTCCCCCATCTCTTGATTCATTCATTCAATCAAATATTTATGGACGAAGAACTATGATTCATACCTCTCAATCACCTTATAAATAAACAGAGGCATTCCTTACAATACTAATTTGCCGTTCTGAACATCTTATTCTACATTACACCACCAAAAACAAGTATGGGCACAGAAAGTAGACTATTCTTGCATGTTAAAAAAACTCACATAGTCAACGAAAATCTTGAGTAAAAACCAAAAGCCCACAATAAAAACGAAGTAAAAACCTGAGATTCCCATATAAATGTACAAATTTAATTACTATGATGAATGATATTAAAATCTTGTGATATACAGTGCCCTCTGCTGGAAGATGGGAAATTAAAAGACTGCATCAGGAGCCTGTCACGGACTTGATAAGTGACCTTGGGCAAGTTACCGCTTCAGCTAACGCCTCGGGCACTGGACCTGTGACTGTGCGGGGAAGTCAGGACAGCCTGATCAAACGTCTGGACTGCGCCCAAAGACGCGGGCCCCGGTGCCCCTGCCGACAGCGAGAGCAGTGCAAGCGCTCCTGCCGTGCGCCCCCGCTGCCCCTGCGACCTTCAGAGCCACGGGGCAGTGCTGGCACCACTGCTGCCGTCTACACTGATCTGCACCTGCAACGCGCCATGTGCTGTTCAGCCACCGTGTCCGAGGCACTGACATGGCTTTCCAACATTTCAACAATTTCAGAGGTCACAAAGAAGTCGAAGTCTGACTTATTAAGGTGATATATATTTAAAAATCATAAGAAAAGGAAGTAACAAAAGGCAGAATTTCTCTGTTCAATAAAGGTGGGCAAGAACAATGTCAGAAGAAAAATAATCCATCCCCCCCAAGAGGCAGAGAGCAGCACAGCAGAGCATGAGACACAGCAGCACGGAACTCCGTCACTCTTAAAAAACCCGACTTCAAAAGCAATTTTGGCTCCGTGCATTTTTAAACATATGAGGATTTCTTCTAGAAATGGGTGAAATAACTACTTTTATCTAAACATAAAAATTATCAAATATTAAACTCTATAAAAACTCCTTCTCCCCACGTTTTTCAGAGCAGCACACGTAAAGCAGAGACGTTAATTCAGTGTGCCTCCTGCTTCGACGGGTAACACAGCGGCAGAGCAGCGAGGGATACAACGGCTGATGAAGCACTGTTTTCCACTCAATAACATGAAAAGGAAACACTCTCAAAAATCCTGTAGCACCCTAACATGGCAGCTACGCCCCTAGGGACTCAAGCATCCTTACCCAAACCCCCCAAGAACATGCTCCCCACTCCCACACGAAAGAGGAAAACGCCCCACCTGCTGTCCTGCCGGCGGTAATCCTGCTGCTGTTCTCTGACCATTGGCTTCACCATCCCTCGCTCGGCTGTGCTGGAGGCAGACGGCACTCTGTCACTGTCCAGTCTCGTGGCGCTCTAGTCCAAGGGGAAAACACAAAGCGTTTAAACATACCACGCCAACCAACCAAGCGCGACACTCAGCGTTGCAGGTGAAGATCTGATACAAGGCTGTCACGCAGGGAAGACGAGGCACAGATGCTGAGCAAGAGCAGAGACGAGAAAAAGCCACAGCCATGCGGAGGATGTCATGTCCACAGTGGCACAGCCAGGAACACACTGCCATTAAAGGAATAATACAACACAGCCACTTCCCTTTTCAGAGCGCGAGATGTCAGCTTTAAAACACGCGCATGCAAAAGTGGGACATACACACACGGTTTCTTCAGAAAATACAGTAATAATAGTGACTTTATCCAAAAAGCTCTCCTAACCAGGACACAGCTGAGAGACTATGTACAATATGAAGAGTTATGGTCTTTATTTGCTAGTTTTAAGAAAGGATTAAAAAAATCTGCTCATTATAGCTCAATACCTAATGAAGAATTCAGTACAGAAACTGGTTTACTTCTTGCCCTTAATCAGCATAGGGAAAACCAGACACACGGCAACTCAATACAGTACATTTAAGTCCTTCCAAACAGCACACACTCTTAGCCAACCTACGGCAGACAAAAAGGATGACTTATTTATGCTAAGACAACAATCAGAACGGAAGAAAAAAATTCATATAAAGAAATGCATTGCAGTAAAAATTTTATGTAAGTTTTCTTATCACATCTGTTTACTGTAGAAATGAAACATAGATAAGTAAATAACAATCATCCTTGTCTTACCAACTAGAGATTAACACTGTGCTGTATATATCCGTCTAGTTTTTCCTGTTTTCCATAAATGAGATTATACAACCCACTTCATAAACGATACTCTTTTCTCGTACATTGGAAACATCTTACAGCATTTTACATGCTAACATATTATAGAACAATTATGGCTTGTTTTTAAATGATTTTCAAAGGAAATTGCTCACAAAATAGCCAAAGGAAGGAGAGAAAGGAGTGTGTGCGCGTGGGTGCATGCACAGAGATTTAATTATGTTAGAAAGTATAAACACACACATACATGAATAAAGAGTTCAGAAAAATACCCATCGAATGTCACCAACAGCCAGCTAAAAGTTGTGGACACATGATTTTCATTTTTTTCTCAACTTACCAAGTTTTCTATTTTGACTATACATGTTTATGAGAAATTGAGGTTTTTATAAAGACAGTTATGTTTGGTCTCAAGGGTATTTATTCATTCACTCACTCAGCAGATCTTTCCTGGGAATCTCACGTACCGGGCACTTTCGCAGCACCAGGAGGACGCAGTGAACAGACCAAGCACTAGCCCTACTTTCACAGCACTCACCGTCCACAGTCAATCAACAAACGAGAAAGTATCAGATGAAATAACAGCTGCACAGAGAACTTAGGCATAATAACAGTGGTTGGATGATCAAGGAAGACTTCCTCAAGGAGGTGACTTGAGCTGAGGTCTGAGATAAGAAGGGACTAGCCATGTGAAAACCAGCAGAAAGAGCATTCTAGAAGAACACACACTCGGGCGTCAGATGGGAAAGAGGCAGGCGTCAGGGAGGGGAGCCAGTGTGGCCTGCGTGGAGCAGTGGAGCCCCGGCCAGCACACGCTAAGCTGACACGGAGGGGCCAGGTCACCCAAGGAGCTGGGTGAGCCGGTGAAGACTGCGTGGCATGTGGGAGGAGAAGCCAGCGCGGGCCGTGAAGACAGGGAGTAACAGGACCGAATTTACATGTTCAAAACATCAGCCTGGCTGCTGGGAGGAGAGCGATGGGACGGAACAGAACGAAGAGGCGCTGCCCTCCAAGACGCTCGCAGTCCTCCCACCGTGACAACCGTAGCCTAAGCTGGACCTCCGACAGCGACAGGGAGAAAGGCAGGCAGGCGGGGACTACTTCAGAGGCAGGGCAAACAGACCTTGCCGATGGTTGGATATACAGGCTGAGAGAAAGAAGGAACCATGGATAACTTGCGACAGATGGAGCACCGCTGTGGATGGGGTAGCATTTACTTAAATAGGGAAGGATCAGGGAAAGAAGGATGTCTGAGAAGGAAAATCTAGTTTTGTTTTAGTTACGTCAAACTTGAAATACGTGCTGGACAAACTCATGGATATGTCAAGCAAGACTGTGGAGTGGGGAGAGGTCGGACCAACGACAGCGGGAGTAATGAACACACAGATGGTGTCTTAACTGAGGCAACTGCCTAAGACCACAGAGAACAGGTGTCACAGAGGAGGGGCCCCGGGCTGAAACCTTGGCCCCCCCATTTCATAAGTCAGGCGAAGGAGGAGGAGGCAGAACCCACAAATCAGACTGAGGAGGAAGGAGCATGCAGTGGGAAGAATCGGGGAGACACCCTGGAAGCTGAAAGAAGAAAGCGCACCAAGGAAGTGGGGACCCAGCGAAGACCGACGGAGAACAAGCACGGGACTCGAACCTGGAGTCGGCAGAGCCCGCGGCTGACAGTCCCTGTGCACGGGCAGGAGCCGGGGGAGCGAGGAAAGGAGATGGGTTACAGGAAGCGGGGACAGCAACCACAGATTCTCTCCTCCAGAAACCGTGCTGTGAACAGGAGCAGAAAACCGTGGGCAATGGCTGGAACAGTAAGGGCTTAGAACCAGGAGACACTGCCGCACGTTCTGACGCTGCTGAGGCCCGGCTTTGATGGGTCCCACCTCGAGGAGCCCCTCCCCTGCATCTGGGCCGAGCCCGTGCTTCGCTTTAACCGACGGGAGGTGGGGGAAGCTCCGCGGGGCCAGCTCCAGGCCCAGCCTCGGGAGGGCTGCGCGCTCTGTGCTCCCTGGGAGGCACCAGGACGTCCGGCTGCCCCAGAGAGACGATGGGGTGAGAGGTCCAGGAGAGGACCTGAGATGACAGGAAGACAGGGAGGCCCAGCCGTCCCAGCACAGCCCGGCCACCAAGCAACCCACTAGCTGAATGCGGCCACACAAGCAACCACCCGCAGGACTGGCAAACAAACTGCCCAGGTGGGTCCAAACCACACTGCACAAGTGGAAACACGCAAACCGGCTGCTGTTCTAATTCACTAAGTTTTGGGGTGGTTGGTCACCCAGCAATAGGTAATCAAAATGAGGACAGAAATGAATGATTACGCAAGAGATAAGGAATAACTGTGGAAGCAAAGTGTCTGGGAAGGAAAGCTGAGGGCAGGACCAGCACCGAAGCCGAGTAACGTCACCAAGAGCAGGAGTCTTCAGGGGTCACCTGACCGAGAAGGCTGGTTACAGAGGGGACAGGCCTGGGGCACGCTGCTGGGGAGAGAAAGCACCATTTCCCTGGCCTTACGGAAAAGACAGGCTGCTAATGTCATCCACGTATCACTGAGAGAGAATTCAACAGACGAGGACAAGCCACGCGTAGAGACCACTGTGAAGTCTGTTTTTGTAACAGTTTGACGAGCATATTACCAATAATTCATCCACGGCATCTCACAAGGGTAAACACACACTGTCCTATCAGGTACCACACTGTTACCCACCTTGCTCGTTGGCAATGCTGTTCCACTGTGAACATCTCCTCCTAAGTCAAAAGTCGTCTCCTGAACAACTCTGTTGGGGTAAAAAAAGAAATACATAGAATTAATAATTCTTAAATGATAAGGCACAGCCTCTTCTTAGTAATACAAAAGGGACAGTTAGTTAAATATCCCAATGTTCAGAGATCAAGAAATCACTTTATTTTCAGCAAATAAAGTTAAAGAAAAAACAAACTGTTCTAACTCTATCAACTTTTCTTACTGATGTAAGCTGAACACTTCCAGGATCATATTTTTTAAAACTACACTTTAATAACAATAAATTGAAAGGAATGATAAAGAAAAAAGCAAGGTGTTTCATCACGTAAGTGTCTCTGGGCTGCACACAGCACACAAATGAAGTCCAGACATCAAAGGAGCCACGGGCCCACCGTGGACAGAGGCAAGATGACAGTGCTCACGGGGAGGACCAGACAGGGGCTAAGCGGCCCTCTTGTTTGAAAGCCAATCTGATGACTTTTTAAGAACTTATCCCCTACTTATCCACTTATCCACTACTTAGGCTACAAATAAAGAAATGGGGAAATTTCTGATAATGTTAGTAATCAGATCCACACTTAGTCTAGTTTAAACAATCTTTTGGACTACCTCAAATACCAAAACCTCTAAACTCATCATTATGAGAAATTAACTCAGAATACGAACAAAGTTTCATTTTAAAGAGTCAATGACCTGAGGCAAGCTACAGTTCTTCGGCACAAATGCAGAATGAACACAATCCACTGGTCCCAGCCCATGAGAGAGGCCCAACGACAGGGAGAAAGAGCCCCGACAGCACCCAGAGACCACAGGAGGAGCACGTGATTACACTTCCTGGGCTTCTGCACAAGCTAATCAAAAAGAATGAACATCCCTTCTGTTACAATATTTGAAAAACGCATGGTCTAATTTCAAAGCACTATGGTAACTTGAAACTTTTATTTAAGCGCAATCTATAAAATGAAACCAGGAAGTGATGCAGAAGTTCAAACAAGGTTTCTACTCAGCAAAGCAGGTACAAATTCCTCTTCTACTCCATCACTATGAAAAGAAAATCACCTTGGACTACAAAATACTACAACACTTTAAAATATAGTTTTTGAGAAAATAAAAGCTTTTACTAAAGGCCAAATATCGTCAACTTTCTGGACATGACTTCATGCACTACATTACAAAGTTTTTTGAAATTAAATACTTATCCTCTGTCACCAAGATATTCACAAAACATAGAAAATCTTCTGCTGGTTTCAACTGGCCTGAATAAGAAATTCAGTTATTTTGTCTCTGATAACGAAAACAGGAAACAGGACAGTTCACCTGCTTCTGTCATCTATCAAAGCTACATATGTACCTTACCCATCCTTAACTTCCTCTTATGGATGCACAGGAATATAAGCAAAGCCTTCTTGATTCCATTTGTAATTATCATCCTAGAATAACAAATTCACTCAACTCCATGCAAAGATCTGTATTTTTTTCTCCAAACCTGTGAAAATTTTCAAGTTTAACATGGACTCATTTGTACTGCATTCTGGATATGTGAACAATTACAAAGTGACTTTATGTATCTCTTTGATAACATTGTCAAAGTATGACCTTTGGTCAGCTCAGCTCTCAGAGCACAATGACACAAGACACAGGTGCTCAATGAATGCAGACTAGATGAACACATAAATGAATCGATGTGTCATCACAAGTCCCTGAAATTCCCACACCGACCACCAATGTCAAACTGACACCTTGCTAGAATACCTTCACCAAGACTCTGCAGACACAGACCTGAAGCCTGCAGTTAACAAGAGCTGTATCATGTATGGCTCAAGGAGCTAGAAAAAGAACAACGAAGCCCCAAGTCACTAGCAGGAAGGAAATAACAATGATCAATGCGAAAATAAATGAAAGAGACTAAAAAGACAATTAAAAAGATCAGTGAAACTAAGAGCTGGTTCTTCGAAAGGATAAACTGACAAACCTTTAGCTACAGCTATGAACCACGTATATGCCAACAAATTGGACAACCCAGAAGAAATGGGTAAATCCTAGAAACACACAACCTACCAAGACTGACTCATGAAGGAACAGAAAACCGGAGCATCATAAATTACCAGTAAGGAGACTGAATTAGCAATCAAAACCCTCCCAATGAACAAAAGTCCAGGACCAGACAGCTTCACTGGTGAACTCCACCAAACATTCAGAGAACAATGAATACCAATCCTGCTCAAACTCCAAAAAAAAGAGAAGAGGAAAAAACTCTTCGAAACTCATTTTACGAGGCCAGTATTACCCTGATACCAAAAACAGACAAGGATATCACAAGAAATAAAAATTATAGGCCAACATCCCTGATAAACATAGATGCAAAAACCCTCAACAAAATATTAGCAAACTCATGTCAAGATCACATTAAAAGGATCACACACCATGATCAAGGGGGTCTTATTCCAGAGATGCCAGGAGGCTTCAACACCTGCAAATCAATCAGTGTGATACAACTGATTAACGAAGTGAAGAATAAAAAGCAAATGATCATCTCAGTGGGTGCAGGAAAAGCATTTGACAAAAGTCAACATCCATTTATGATATTTATAAAAACTTTCAACAAAATAGGTATAGAGGGAATGTACCTCAATATAACAAAGGACACATATGACAAGCCCACAGCTAAAATCATACTCAGTGGGGAAAGCGGAAAGCTTTTCCTCTAAGATCAGGAGCAAGACAAGGATGCCCACTCTCACCACCTTTATTCAACATAGCACTGGAAGGCCCAGTCAGAGGAACCAGACAAGAAGGAGAAACGAAAGGCGTCCAAATCAGAAAGGAAGAAGTAAAATTGCCACTATTTGCAGATGACATGACATATAGAGAGAATCCTGGAGATTTCACCAAAAAGCTGTTAGAACTGATAAAGGAACTCAGTAAAGGCGCAGGAAACAAAATCAATACACAAAAACCTGTTGCATTTCTACACACTAATAATGAACTATCAGAGAGAAATTAAGAAAATCCCTCTTACAATTGCATCAAAAAGAATAAAATACCAAGAAATAAATTTCACCAAAGAGGCGAAAGGCCAGTACTCTGAAAACTAAGACACTGATGAAAGAAACCGAAGACGACGCAAATAAACGGAAAGATAGTCCATGTTCATGACTGTAAGAACTAATATTATTAAAATGTCCATACTACCCAAAGCAACCTACAGTTTCAATGTAATCCCTATCAAAATTCCAACAGCATTTTTCACAGAAATAGAACAACAATCCTAAAATTTGTATGGAACTACAAAAGACCTCGAATAGCAAAAGCAATCTTGAGAAAGAAACAAAGCTGGAGACATCACAGTCCCTGATTTCAAACTATACCACAAGGCTATCGTGATCAAAGGCCAGCCTGGTGGCCAAGTGGTTAAGATTTGGCGCTCTCACTGCCACAGCCTGGGTTCATTTCCTGGTCGGGGACCCACACCACCCGTCTGTCGCTGTCACACCGTGGTGGCTGCAGGTCGCTGTGATGCTGGAAGCTCTGCCACTGGGATTTCAGGCCAGGGTCATGGTGGACGGGTTTCAGCGGAGCTTCCAGACTAGGACAGACTAGGAAGAAGGATCTGGCCACCCACTTCCAAAAACTGGCCATGAAAATCCTGTGAACAGCAGCGGAGCACTGTCTTCTGTAGCCCTGGAAGGTGAGAAGATGGTGCAAAAAGAACAGGCAGGGTCCTGCTCTGCCGTCCCCAGGGGCACTAGGAGTTGGAATGCACTCGACAGCAGGAAGAACAGAAAGAGCAGTCACAGTAGCGTGGCACTGCCGTAAACAGACACACAGCGCAACGGGGCGGGACAGAGCGCCCAGAAATGAACCCACACAGACATAGCCAATTTTTTGACAAAGGAGCCACGAATATACAATGGAAAGAGGACGCTCTTCAACAAACGGTGCTGGGAAAACTGGATGGCCACAGGCACAGAAATGAAACTGGACCCCTATCATACACCACCCAAAAAAATTAACTCAAAATGGATTAAAGACTTGAATCTAAGACCTGAATCCACAAAACTCCTAGAATAAAACAGGCAGTAACCTTGACATTGGTCTTGGTGATGATTTTTTTAATCTGACACCAAAAGCAAAGCTAACAAAAACCAGAAATAAGTGGGACCACATCAAACTAAAGAGCTTCTGCACAGCAAAGGAAACCACCAACAAAATGAAAAGGCAACCTATGGAATGGGAGAAAATATTTGCAAATCATGTATCTGTTCAGGGGTTAATACCCGAAATATATAAAGAACTCATACAACTCAGAAAAACACAAACAATCCCAATAAAAACTGAGCAGAAGATCTAAATAGACATTTTTCCAAAGAAGACATACGAATGGCCAAGAGGTATATGAAAAGGTGCTCACATCACTAAACATCAGGGAAATGCAAATTAAAACCACAAGGAGATATCACCTCACACCTGTCAGAATGGCTATTATCAAAAAGACAAGAAATAACAAGTGTTGGCGAGGGCGCGGAGAAAAGGGAACCCTTGCACACTGTTGGTGGCAATGTAAACTGGTGCAGCCACTATGGAAACCAGTGTGGAGGCCCCTTGAAAAATTAAAAATAGAACTACCGTATAATCCAGCAATTCCACTTCTGGGTATTTATCCAAAGAAAACAAAAACACTAACTCAAAAAGATATATGCATCCCCACGTTCACTGCAGTGTTACTTACAACCACCAAGACACAGAAACAACCTAAGTGCCCAGTGATGATGAACAGATAAAGAAAATGTAGCATATAAACAATGGAATATCATTCGACCATGAAAAAGGAGGAAACTGCACCATTTTCGAGAACACGGATGCACCCTCAGGGCAGGATGTTAAGTGAAATAAGTCAGAGAGAGACAAATACCCTGTGATCTCACTTAAATGTGGAACCAAAAAAAAAAAAACAAACCTCAGCTCAGAGATAACTTAGCACCGACTGGTAGTTGCCAGAGGCAGGGGAGGAAGATGAACAAAATGGGCCCGAAGGTACAAACTCTCAGTTATAAAATGAGCCATGGGACGTAGCGCACGGCACGGTGACTACAGTTGACATTACTGCAGTGCGTATTGGAAAGTTGCGAAGAAAGTAAATTCTTTTTTTTTTTTAAGGATTGGCACCTGAGCTAACAACTGTTGCCAATCTTCTTTTTTGTTTTTTTGTTCCCTTCTGCTTTTTCTCCCCAAATCCCCCTGGCACACAGCTGTATACTTAGTTGTGGGTCCTTCTAGTTGTGGCATGTGGGACGCGGCCTCAGCATGGCCTGATGAGCGGTGCCATGTCCGCGCCAGGATCCGAACCGGCGGAACCCTGGGCCGCGGAAGCGGAGCGCGAGAACTTAACCACTCGGCCATGGGGCCGGTCCTGAAAGTAAATTCTTAAAAGTCCTCATCACAAAAAAATTTTGTAACCATGATGATGGACGTTAACTAGACCTGCTGTGGTGATCATTTCACAATATATACGAACATCGAATCATTATGCTATAAACCTGAAACTAGTATAATGTTATATGTCAATTATATCTTAATAAACATATATATACACACACACACATGTGGAAAAAAAACACATGGGTTATCTACCTAGGAATTTGTGTAATAGTTTGACGTCAGAACAAAAGTAATGTTTACAAAAAAATGGAAGTCCTTTCCAATTTATGGATGTACATGTAAGTACTGGCATAGTCAACCACTAAGCAGTTTTCACTAGTTTTGCAAGAAGAAGATATAATAATAAAAATAAAATTCCACAGCACATTCTTCTCAATGCAATCCGAGCCCTGTTCTTAGATGTCCCCTGCCTTTGGCCAGAGATACGATGAGAAGACACAACTGCAGGCCTGCAAAGCAAGAGCCACTGTACAAACAGCAGCAGACTGATGTTCTCACCGCAGAACACCACCACGCTAAACCAAAGGACTGACGGCAACAGCGGGACAGAGACAGTCGTGGAATCATGTTTATACACAAAGACAGACAGGGACAGCAACACTAGGAACACCATCAAAGTAAACAGAAAACTCAGAAATAAGGCACAACTGCAAACGAGAGGCAACAGCGCAGGCACTGCTGAAAGACAATGCGCAACACAGCAGGACAAACTGCTCCGTGTGACCCGTCTCCGCCAAAACGTGCCAGGAGCCCACGGGAAGAATACCAAGCAGGCATACTTTGCCCCATCCTTCCCAGGAACCCGTGGAGACGGACGTCAGGCAGGCAAGGGGGAAACGGCTGATCAGTGATGCGACCTCAGGAAAGCAGCATTAAAACCCGGCCCTCCCAGACACAGAAGGAAGGATGAGGTGAGAGGCAGGCTCAGGCTGAGCTGAGAGCTGGAAGAGAGCCAGACAGAAACGGATTTTCTTGAGAAGTAGAGAGTTAAGGCACACGCTGGGTTCTTTGGGAAGTAAGAGGCAGGGGTATCTGCTGAAACTTGGAGCTTAAGGCCAGAGGCTGGGAACAGCGGGTCTCCAACAGCCCACGGTGACTCCGGTCTCCAACCTGCCTCCGTGATCTGTGAGGATCCAGTGCTGCCCGGGAAGAAGACACTAGGTCTGACGCGTGCTAGCTGCCTTTCACCCGTTTCCTTTGCCAGGGCTCAGAACGGCCGGAGGCTGGAAAAGCAGCAGAGCTCAGTGATAACCACCAAGAACAACCACACTGGAATTAAAAACGCCGATGAGCTGCATTATAAAGACCAACACGAAGAAACTCTCAAATTCACAGCTGGCCCCCAGCATAAGCTCCGGGTGGTCAACCGGAGGTCATGGAAGAAAACTGCAGGACACACGACCCAGAGAAGACCGCCACAGCAGGGGGCTTTCTGGCTGCGTCCAACAGCAGGAGGGGGAGCTCGCGCAGCTGCTTTGCCCAGCCCAGGCCCCACCAACCTGCAAAGCGGGTAATAAAACCAGCTAAACAGCATACTCTTTTCTAAAATCGTCATTACCAAAAGAAATCTTATTCTCTCCCCCGCAGAACAGTTTTACTAGATAGTCAGACGGGTTTCTGTCTTCCAGCAACAGGCCCACCGTGCAAGTCCTCAGAGAGGCACCAGGCGGCGCTAAAACATTCGGAATTGTAAGAGATCTTCATGCGCTTCACCATCAGAAACAGAAAAAACCACCTCAACAAAAAACCTTAGTTACACAGAACATCCTAACTTCACGAAAGAAGAAATAAAGTACTGTTCTAAAGAATCAGCTAAAAAACAGAATTTAAACATGATTTCAAAACCAGCCACAACTTCCAATTTTAAGATGAACACCTTTCTTCTTCTCCCCTCTGAAACCAACCCAAATCAACAAGAATCAGAACCACAAACCCCGCTTTGAATTTTTAAAAATTAAAACAAAATAAAAAATGAAAACAGAATAAAAAATGAAAAAACGTAATCTATGCCTACTTCAGATTACTTTGAGCATAATCAAAACCCTCCACAATTCTTAAAGTTGACGTGGACTAATTACCCAGGCTTATGTCTGGGACCCTTCACCGTGAGGCCTCCGTCCACGGATCTCTTGGCGAGCGCGTGGTCCTGGCTGGGGTCCACAAACTTGAACACGTGGGATGCCCCAAACTGCACCTTCATCCCACTCTGCAGCACGGTCGTCTCTGAGATGCGCTGTCCTTCCACGTAGGTCTCTGCATCTATGCTTCTCGGAGTGACGGTGACAACTCCGTCCATGTTCGTGAGGTCACAGTGATGGGGCTGAATTCCTGAACCAAACAACTAAAAGAAAATCACAGAAACTTCCACCAGCAAGTACAGAGTATTATAAACAGAACTTTGAAACTGTGAGTTTCCCTTTTATGTAATATAATCTAATAGGCTTTGGATTTCCGGTGTTTTTAGTGGATTTTCCTCCAGTAGTATCAAAGTAATTAAACACTGCCAAAATTGAGTCAAAATAAGTGAACATTTTACTTTTAGCATGTAGTCACTTGATTTAAGTTAAAAAGCATATGGCCATCCCACACACTCCTTAGATAGTAATGGGTAACTCCATACAGATCATCATTACAAACTCCTATTTACCTGCTTTACTGCTGGGCTAAGCAGGAGGGGATGTTAGAACTGGAAATGACATTAATAATCTGACCCGTTATTTCACAATGAGAAAAGAGAATACAGAGGAAGAGTGACTTGCCCAAGTTCAGCTTTGATGAAGCCACGAACCTTACTCAAAGCTCATGTGAGACTATCTTAACTACATACTTTCGAGCTGTATTCAGCTAACGCTTCCAGTGACAGGCACTCTCACACAGGCTATCTCCCTTAATCCTGAAATGCACCTATGAAATGCCCATCTTTTGGAGAAGAGTAAAGCGCCTCGGCGGAATGCCACGACCACTCCGAGTCTTAGAGGTGGAGCGTGGACACACACGCACAGTGCTCTCTCCATGCCGCGGCCAAGGAAGTGACCCGGGAAACAAGCCATTTGTATCAGGACACAGTCCTCACCATTCCCCACGGGGGCCTGCGCTCCCCAGCCGTGGCCCAGCACTCCACGCCCTGACCCCTGAAACGTAAGCCCACAGAAGGGAGCGAGGGCCGCCCACGACCGCGTACCTGGATGGAGCTGTCATCCACCTTGTCCGTCCCAACCTCAGTCACGCTTAACTGAAGGCGGTAAAGCTTGGGCTTATCTCTGGAGTCAGAACCGTCTGCGAGAAGAGAAGAAACACGGCTTCATTTGCAGGTCTAATGTTCCTGGCAGGTTATGTGAAACGAGCAAACAAAGGTTATCGTAGAAATGACACTACAGTTCTCAATTCTCAGGATTTCTTTTCAAAGAACTCTCCAAATTTGTATCATGCAATTTCACTAACTGGATACAGAAAATTCAAATTAAGACAAAAACACATAAGCCTCTGTTTAGCATATAATTTAAGGTGCTAACACTGTCATTCATACCAACGTTTTATCACATAAAAAGAAATTTTCTCCACCACACAGCTCCAGATTTTTGTTAATGACTCTGAAGAACAATTCTATTAGCCAACGATGATCATCAAAGACACACAAGCCCTCCCCACAGACCAGGTCCTTCCTATGGTAAACCACAGGCTGACGGGGCACAGGCGCATCCCTGACGCAGCCTTGTAAACGTATGTGCGACTGCAGAGCTCACTCCAGACCTCCTGGACCAAGATCCTTGGGGAGGAGGCCCAAGAGTCTTCTGAATAATCTCGCCAAGTGATCCTAATGTCCATCACTGAATGAAGTTCCAGTAAGAACTACAGCTGGAAGCACAGAGTGCAACTTGGGGTGAAGGACAGAAAGGGAGACTGGGTGTTTGTTTTGACTTTTTAAAAACTGTTGCTGAGGAAGATTTGCCCTGAGCTCACATCTGTGCCCATCTTCCTCTATTTCGTATGTGGGATGCCGCCACAGCATGGCTGACGAGTGGTGTAGGTCTGCGCCTGGGATCTGAACCCATGAACCTGGGCCACCAAAGCCAAGTGCGCCAAACTTAACCACTACACCATGGGGCCGGCCCCTGTTTTTGTCATTTTATACCCTCGTGACCTGCTGAGATTTTTCGTCTCCCTGTGCATGAATTTCTACGATGGGGATGGCTTGGGGAGGAGGAGGAGGAGGAAGAGGAGCCACTGCCTAGACACATGGCCCATTACACCCGGCTACGTGCACTCCCTTCTCACCTACTGCATCTCATCCATACAGCGTGATGGCCATTGATGACTTACTGACTTCAGAGTTGTTAATACACAGGGAAGCGCGCCTCACAGAATCAGTGCATCACGACACTCTCACAGTGGGACAGTCAGCGGGGTTTGCGTACACACTATGCAGAGACTCCGTGCCAGGCCCAGGAGAGCCCCCAAACTCCTGCACTGACGCCTCCACAACCTCCAGAAATGCTCGTTAGGTTGCCATTTACAACCTCTGGTCGCTGGAATCAGGAATGTAAGCCACGCGAGCTTCAGAAGTTGAACGTCTGGAGGACACAAGTGTTGCAGACTGCTACAGTCTCATAGCTGTGCGTGGTCTAACTCTCACAGACAAGACACCACGAACGCGCAAGCTCTGTTAGAACTGTTGCTGACTTCAGAGTGCACAAAACAGCATTCTAGTAACAAAACTTTCTAGTTTTGAAATATTTTGGAGATCTGTGAAATCTGGGTAAAGGAAAGAGACTGAAATGGTGTTGGGGAGACACTGATGTGTAACACGCGTTATCACATTGGCTTGTCATCCTGCTGCGTCACAGCATGCTGGAATATCCTCATTGTATATGGTGGCAATTGAAGCCCTTTTTAAACAATTTTACTTTCAACTCCAACTCCAAGTCCTGATCCAAAACGAGGCGCTAGAATCACCCGGGGCGCCCCAGCCGTGGGCAGCTCCCTTCCAGGCCTGCTGAGCTCACAGCCCCCAGGAATGTTTGTTTTGCTTGCTTTTAACCCCACAGGCGGTCCTAATGAACACTCCTGGGCAAGAAACACCACGTGTGCTCTCACCACGCAGAGCACCAGCCCATTCATCCTGATGCATCCACCATACTCTATGATGATTTCCATTTACTTGTCTCCTCCATCTCTGAGCTCCTTGCTGGCTAGGTTTTTAAAAAACCTCTTTATCCTGGCACTTGGCACAGTGTCTGGTCTACAGTACACATTCAATAAAGATTTAATGGATTAACAGTGAACAATTATTAACTAAAAATGAAGAAAACATTATGGTCACACAGAAATTACGCTAAAGAATTATAAAAGTAAAAGAAGCCAATAGGTGATCAAGAACAATTATTTCAAGACAAAGTTAAAAAAATACAAGAACATGAAAAATATGTCATTTAGGGGTGAAAGGAAAACTCACATTAATATTCTTCTGAGTTCTGAATGCTTCTGAAAGTCCTCCTGTGAGCTAATAAATGGACATTACATACTCTTCCATGTCAACAGATTTAGAAATAAACAGAGAACAGGAGAAACATAAACGTCCTCCCCAGTCTCTCCTTTCTTACTGTTTCATTATAACGGGAATCTATCCACAGATGCATCAGAAATACATTTCTTTCCAAGCCCTTTTTTTTTTTGACAAATCCTTATAGATAGATTTTTAATAACCTAAACAGTGGCCACAGGATTTAGGAGATAAAATGGAGCTTGGCTCGAGCTCGGGGAGGGAGGAGAGCAAAGCGGCATGGCGGCAGGGATGTCCAAATAACCGACATCTTTCTTATCACAGTCCGTTTCCCTCTCCTTATTAAAAGCATGACGACCATCTCAGAGGCAGTAACAAACACACAGAATTGTTGCCTAAAACGCAAACCTTCAATTTTCTCCCCTTCCGCAGCAGCTATTCCACTGCCTGCCACTATTCTAACAGTCGATTTCTGCCCAGAATGTCTGAGCACCTTTCTTCCCATGAGATAACTAAAACCAATCTGGAGCCTTTAAAAGTAGAGATGAAGCTAAGTAACCTGACTACATACAACAGTACTTCTACCAGAAGGTTTAAAAAAAAAAAGTTTTTAACTTTATAACTTTGTGTTAAAAATATGTGACACATTCATGCGGTTCAAACTTCAAAAGGCACGCAGCGCCCAGGGAACAGCGCCCTCCCTGTGTCGCCGTGCGGTGCTCCCCGTCGGAGCAAATCCTCAAAACCTCCGTCACGCACACAGACTGACCAATCGGATACACCGTCTTCTTTCTCCTCTTTTGCATAAACATTAGAACACTATTTAGGGTTGTTAATGAAATCCAGTTAAATGTGCACTATTCGGGACAAACTTACACTAAAATATTGGTGTTTTATCTGAAATTCAAATTTATCTGAGAGTCCTGAATTTTATTTGCCAACCCTGGCAGCCCTAAATTACCACTCACACTGTTATGCATCTTATTTGTCTATTTTTTTAATTGAGATGTAACAAAGTTTCATTTAATATTCTAAATATTAAGGAAAAATAGACCCTTAGGAACACAGCCTAAGAACATTTTTTAAAGGGCACTTTTGTTTTTACTGTAATTGTTTTTTACCCTCTTGTTTCTACAATAATGCTATCCCTCCAATTCGGCTTTTGCCGTCAGCTGCTTTCCAGGCTGAACTCTTGGGAAGCTGGTTTAACTTTGGTGCTAAACATTTCCTCTTTGCCCACCATTTAAGAACGGGGCTGGGGCGCATGCATTTACAAGATGCAGAGTGCGCCCCTCGCCCCAGCACTGTGCTGGGAGGGCAGTAACAGTGACAACAGAAATGCACACTCCCAGAGAGCTCGCATTTTAGTGAACCAACACAACAGTCAAACTATCAAAATATTTTTGTAGCTCATTTAAACTTAAATCTTGGAGCATATTCTCACTAACTTTATTGGACAAAACCTCTCTTCAAACAGAACTGGCAAATAACTAAGAACACTTTGGTCAAAGTCGATGACCAAATACAACAAAGTCATATCACGTGCCTTTGTCTGTGCGCGTCAGGCACAAAGGAAACGCATTCTTCTCTCCGCTGTCCCACCAGCTTACAGTATGAAATTAACAAACACGTGCAAGGGTTAAGGAATCCTTTTCAGGAACAAAATAACAACAACAAAACACATGTCTTGGACTCCATATATACGAATATAAAAATAGGTAACAAATATCATTTGTTTCTATTTTTTAGAAAAAAAACAAAAAACCCAAACTCCAAGTTTGGTTAATATCCAATGAAAACTTGTATGATCAGTTTGGAGAAAATTCAACAAAACCAATATAAGATGCTAAAAGGTGACTAAACTTCATACGGCACAGAAAAGTATTTGATTGTTACATTCAAATATAACAATTTACATGTAATAAAATGTACATTCAATGTATAAAAAATAACATTTAAAGATAAAAACAGACAAGAAAGGAGTATTTCCATAAAACCAACAACTATATGTACTATTTAAGATGAGAAAGACTGAGATGCACAAAATTTGAGAAACATATTCCAAGTAAGAAAACTCAGCTTTGCTAACAAATGAATTTCCACCAGGAGAACAAGGAGACTCTAAGGACTCTCCTCAAACCTGGCCAGAACGTAAGCTAGCGCCCTACAAAAAAGATCATCAATACAAGCGCACACCAAGTTTACGGCAGATTCTCTTCTTCAGCCTCCTAAGGATGATCAGACACAGGGCGCTGGACCGGGACGCCTCCTCCCTGTCACATCACAGCTGCATCACGTGACAGCAGTGAACAAAACAGCTCTTCTCGCCGACCTGCCTCTCAGGCTCCTTTCTTTCTTACCTCACCGTATTCTCATTCTCTTTCCCCCGGCTTCTGCCTCCTCCTCCCCTTTCTCCCCTTCTTCCTAACTTTTTCTGGGAGGGAGAAGCGGAAGGATAGGAAAGCAGGTCCCCCCTTCTTTAGTCTAATTTCTCACTTCAGACTGCCTGAATAAACAAAGTGGACATTTTTGCAAAATCAGCTTTTATTAATGAAATGAATTCCGGATATGGAACCCTTAGTAGATTAGAATGAAATGATAGCACATTAAATTTCTTAACATCTAAGTTATTATATCAGTTCAAAACTAACACATAAAACAGTTGGTCAGTAACATTCTGTGCCCATGAGCTTCTGCGAGCGCCCAGTTCAAAAAGTAGTATGAAGACAGCATTACCTTCGTAAGTGTGATAGTTGTAGTAGGCAAAGTGATTCCTTCTCCCTGGGGTTACAAACACATGCAGAGGACCCAGGTGAAGGCAGCATCAGCAGGACAGAGGCCATGCAGAACACGCGGGAGAGGACGGAGGAGAGAGACAGGAGAGGGTGAGCTGTAGTGAGAAACTTTCAAAGGATGAGAAGTCTATTTCACCCCGCAGCTCTCAGAGCCGTGAGGGCAAGACAACAGTGCTCCAGGCAGTGTGCGGTTTAGAAACCGGTGCAGACTGTTCAGGAAAACACCAAGACAACAGGTGAGTCACCACGCCGCAGGAGAGCGACAGCGAGTTAATCATGGAGAAGACGACACCCCACCCTGCCGATTCCTTCTGCGGAGAGAACACCTCAAACCCAAAGCAATCCCATCCCTTTACACTCCACTCCTCCAGACACTGCATGAGCACACGCCTGCACGGCCACAGCCGCCAGTGCACAACCTCAACCACCGCACTTTACAGTCCACTCCTCCACGACAGTGTGAGCACACGCCCGCACGGCCACAGCCGCCAGTGCACAACCTCAACCACCGCACTTTACAGTCCGCTCCTCCACGACAGTGTGAGCACACGCCCGCACGGCCACAGCCGCCAGTGCACAACCTCAACCACCGCACTTTACAGTCCGCTCCTCCACGACAGTGTGAGCACATGCCCACACGGCAACAACCTCAGGACCCCGGCCCAACCCTGGGGACGTGTGCTTGGCTGACAACGTGTCCAGTGGAAATACATACCTACCCATTCATAAGAAGTCAACATTTAAGAGGATTATTTTCTCGTAAATGGAAAAGAAATCAAGTCCACTCAGCATGCTAACTGTGCTCAATTAATCATAATGAAAACTTAAAAGGACAGCATGAAAAGAACATAGCTTTCGTGTCAGAAAGACCTCGGCCTGGCACTCAGGCCACCAACTGTCTGCTCGCCCTCGAGAATCGGCAGCAGATGGGCTCTCAGCATTTGCGGAACACGCTGTCCAGCAGGCAGCCCACGGTGCTCAGGAGGGAGGTGCAATTCCAACAGCCCTGGGACTTGGCCGGTGGATGATGAGTGTCTCTCCGTGGGGCCTCCCCTGAGGACAGCGGCAGGCTCGGCTCCTGCACCCCGCCTGGCCCGACAGAGCAGCTCAGGGCTGCCGACCACAGGTGGCAGCACCGTGAGGGCAGAAAACGCACCGAGAAGCTGGTGACACGTGCCGCTGCCGCCTGCTGAGAAGCAGCAGGACTAAGGTTTACCAGGGGCGACTACCCGCCCCCCCAAAACCTGTGTCTGTGCGACGACCCGGGAGGCCAGAGCACGAAATACACAGCCAAAACAGCAGCTCTCACCAGAATCTGTCTTCCCAAGGTTGGGGTCAGTCTCCCGAGCCGGCTGGTGCTCCACGCCAGGGCCCAGACAGTCCGACATGTCTCAGGGTTCAGGAAACGCACCACCGAAACCAAAGAATGAACTCCCATGCTGTCTCTGCTTCCCACCCAATCAACTCTTACTTGCTCATTTGAACACTGTTCTGCGCTGGCTGCTAGGCATCAATCCTCTCTGGGCCAAGGCGCTCAAATCCTCAAAAGTTTTGATTTGGAGAAAACAATCAGAAGTTTCTAACACATAATACAAAATTTTAAAGACCAGACCCAATGCCCAAAGATCCTAAAAAGTTTTCCGTCCAAACACACGCTCCTCACACCACAGGGAGAAAGCGAAGTGCACACGACCTTTCAGTCAGAGAAGCGAGGGACAAAGCAACACTAACAGATTCCCCACAAACAGCTGATCAATTAAAACACAGTTCATGTAAAGACCACCACCTGCAGCACGCTGCCACCGACCGTAAACCTTAGAGCATCAATCATTCCCTGGATCCATGCAGCCTAGCTGTGCACTAAGACTGCTGGGCCACAGGCACCACACCTCATCATTAGTTCTAATCTGGTAAATAAAAACACTCAGTCAAGAGTCAAAGAGGAGCAAAACATAATTCCCGCCCAAGGAACCACAGATTATCTCCATAACAGGTCTAGGTTTCAGCTTACTTCTTCTGTAATTACAAAGTGACCTCTATTTAAAAGCAGTTCCGGGTGGGAGGGTACAGTACCCTGCCCTTCGCAGCTTTTTATAACACAGGTCACATATCACCGTGTTAACTCCACAAATAAGAAATGATGTCATTTAGCTGAATGATAAAGAAAAATGCCACCTACAGCACATCCATACAAATATATGCTACATAAGGATGTGTGCGTGTATAAAACATTTCAGAACGTCCATGTACCTCTCCACCTAATGGCTAACTTGTAACAGGTTTAGCTTAAGAGAGCCTAAAAACAAGATACTTAGAGGACTAACAGGAAAACAAACCTAGTCTATTCTAATTTTAAAACCAAACAAACATCCTTCCCCTTATAGCCGGACTTCTTACAGGAACTGTTGAAGATATTCTTTCAGACGCTGCTCACACATTAAATAACAATACCGTAAACATGCACACATCGCCTCGATTAAACCCACCCTCAGAGAGCACAGTTCAGTTAGTCATTTTTAGTATTTTACAAGGTTACTTTGGGAAAAAATTTTTAAAAGGGAGTGGATCATTTAAACCTCTCCTTAAACTCTCTATAATCACTGTTCTAAATTCTGTTTTTTAATGTTCATTTCTGTCCATATGAACTTTATTGTTATAAATGAATGTACATATCCTCTGACTTGAAGGTTTTTTTAAAATAAATGTCATCTTACGAGGGCTCCTTTTTTCCCCCCCAAATAGATGGCCTAAGAAAGGTTGTCAGCTAAGAGAAAGGCTACCTAAATAAAATTCCTTAAGAAGCGTAAACACGCAAAGCGACACGCGTGCATTGGCGCTCTCACCCGGGCTCAGCTCCACGAGGTAGGGCAGCTTGTCGGGCGGCAGCGCAGAGCCGTAGCTGGCCGCGTCCGCCCTCTCCTTCCCCTTCGCCAGCTTCCCGTCGCCGTGCTTCTTACTTTTCTTTGGGATGTAATCCGGGGGCCTCCTCTTCAACTGAAAGACCAAACTCCCTAGAACAGAACATCGTACATTCTCAACCAGACTCAGGTCAGCGGAGACGGCCAGCCGATCGGCAGCAGCTCTCCAAAGGTTTACTTAAACCTGCAATTTAACATCATCTCCCAAGGAATAATTGCAAAAGCTTACCCCGTCTACACCTTTACCCAGGAGAGGAAATATTAGTCTCCCGATGTGCTGAAAAACTCTAGCAAGCAATTCCCAAAGATTATTTTAAACTAACAACTACCCAAGCACATTACATGCTTGAGAAACAATACAACATCGGTTTAAGAATAAACAAATGTTTATGTTGGTCAACAACTCAGTGCTCCATAAATATATTCATACACACAGATAACACAGGCACACAAATGTACTTTTAATTAAATTCATTTTTATTTAATTCAATTAACTCAGAATTCAAAGCAACCTGACTTTAACTTAACAAACGTTTCCTGTCTAGGACAAGTACCAAGCATGTGTACTTTTCCAACTGTCAACCTACATTCAAGTGCTGATAGGACCACCCGGCAATAAATTTTTACGTCTTTATTAACGCAAAGACCCTCTACTGAGCAACACTTGGCTTATAACATGAACCTAAAAAACCACATTTCATCAAAAACATAGCTTTCAGCCTTCAATGCTTTCAAGTATTAGGGGAAATTGTATAAACAGTAAAAAGTCTGGATTCATTACTTGAAATAATGAAATTATTGGTCAATCTTGAGGGTTGTGGGTTATTTTCCCTACTACAACAAACTTGTCCAAACACCGCCCAGCTCATCTGGTCAGCTCGGAAAGGATTCCACGGCCGACAGATAAGCATCTCTCACTTCTTAACACGGTGCTAACGTCCGGCTTCTCCCAGACGTGGCACTCCCACTGCAACATGACGGTCTGTTCCAGGTCTACGCACGAGACTCACACAAGCTGCTGCCCTGGGGACGAGGGGACCACCTAGGAGCCACCCAGCAAGTCTAGGAAGGAGGCAGAAAACCACGCAGCAAACAGCCATCAAAAAACACCACCATGCAGGGGCTGGCCCCATGGCGTAGCGGTCAAGCTCGGCACTCTCCGCTTCGGCAGCCCAGGTTCGCAGGATGGTGTCCTGGGTGCGGACACGCACCATGCACCAGCCACGCTGTGGCGGCGACCCAGATATAAAACAGAGGAAGAGTGTCACAGACCTCAGCTTAGGGCGAACATGCCTCAAGCAGAAAGAGGAAGACTGGCAACAGACGTCAGCTCAGGGCGAATCTTCCTCAACAAAGAACAAGCACAAACCAGCGCCATGCACCCACGCTCCTACACCCTTCAATAAGTGAAATAACTGGGACATCAGGTACAAATTTAACACATCATAGAGGTAATTCATTAACGAACAAACGTCTCCTCACCTTTGTCACCCGGCCACTCCCTGAAGATCTGTAAAGGACACTCATCCTCATCCAGGATGACTTCTTTAGCGCCTTTGTCATCAGAATGCTGGGCTCCAGGAGGAAGCATGACCTGAAAGGAAAACATAATTAACTGACTATACCTAAAAAGTCAATTAGCAGGTATTTAAAAGAAACAATTTTCAGAGGCCAGCCCGGCGGCACAGCGGGTAAGTTGGCACATTCCGCTTTGGCGGCCTGGGGTTTGCTGGTTAGGATCCTGGGTGCGGACATGGTACCGCTTGGCAGGCCATGCTGTGGTAGGCGTCCCACACATAAAATAGAGGAAGATGGGCAGAGATGTTAGCTCAGGGCCAGTCTTCCTCAGCAAAAAGAGGAGGATTGGTAGCAGTTAGCTCAGGGCTAATCTTCCTCCAAAAAAAAAAAAGGAAACAATTCATTGTTTTTGGGTAAATAAGTCACTATAGAATTAAATTGATCAAACATTATAAACAACTGTCACTCAAACCCTCAAAAAAAGTGAAGGAAAAAACAGTTTCTAATAAAAGGCTTAGCCAGCTGATTGGGCCGTTTCTATTCACCTGCCTCTCTGGTCCCCAAAAAGAACTAGCCTGAATATTTTTTTAATGAATTTTTAAGGGAAGGACAGTATGTGACAGTTAACTTGTGAGTAATTTCCTAAGATAACTTTATTACTGCAAATCTCAATCTCCCTAGTCCCTTACCCACTTTCACAAGCAAACGCCTGTTTCATAAGGCAGTGTCACCTAAAGTGAGACTCTCAGGATAACGTCACACCACGACAAAACAGAACAGATTTCTTCTTCCTGCAGGTAATGCGTCTTTACGATTAAATTTTAACCAGATCATTCAGATATACCACAGGGCTATTCATTCGACCAACGTTTCTAAGCATCTGTTTTAAGACACTGCATTCACAATACTCTTAAAAATCCAAAACGCTGTATTACTTTTTATTCTATGTTTTTATGACAGCCAAACAATTTTCTTAATCCACCAAGAAAGCCCCCAGTAACACAGAGGAAAGAGACAGGTGACAGTGATCCAGTAATTTCACATACTCTGCTGGACTTCCGCTCCACCTTCAACCTAATTTAGTATTAACACTAAGCAAAATAAGATTATAGAAAATATGAGAAGCAGTCAAGTCACGGGACCGCAACATTGTTTTGAACCTACAGTTAATGTAATAACACATCTTAACAGACTTTACCACCCAAATTTACCATCATGCTCATATACCAAATGGCTTACTCTTCCAGAGAACTCTATAAATTTCTCTCTACACTGCTTCAAAGTACCTTAAAAAGACAAATTTGTCGTAACACACCCTTTTGCTAAAGCTGTCAGTCTGTCTTCACAGGGTTTTGTGCTAAATTTATCTCTTTGGCTTAGAACACACATGACCTCAGGACCCAAACCTCACTCATCCTCTGTTTCAGTCTTTGTCCCGCACCCTGTAGGTCCAGCCACGCGGAACTACTCAGAGTTCTCACATTGGGCCACGAATGTCATGCTTCCGTGACCCCTCGTGCCTAAGAAGCCAACTCCCCAGCTTTCAGGCTCGACACCACCCGCAGGAAGCCCTCCCTGATCTCCATCCTCACTGAAGGCTCCTGCTTTCTAGTTCTCATTCTCGGCCTGTCTCCCCTTATTAGAAGCTCCTTTAAAGGCAGCTCTTACTTTTCTACCCCAGCATCGTATCTAACAAATAAGAGGAACTTAAATATTTATTGAATAATTAATTAAGTAGATAAAATAACAGACGAATGAATATGAAAGAGCTACATGTTACATAATTTATGAGATGGCAAGCCAAGAAAACAAAGAATTTCAAATTCAAGGTTAAAACAATAATCAACTCTTGATTTGTGCTGCCTAAGCTTGCAAAGAAAATGTGCAAGCACACAATAGAAGAGAAAACCAAAACTAGGAGACCCTCAGAAGAAACCATCAAAGGGCCTCAAAGGGGACTGTAAATAAAAGCCCAAAGCAGGCTTTCACAACTTCACGACCCTCGCTAAGGTGTTCTTTCACGTTCTGATTTTCATCAGCAAAAATAAGGCAGAAATTACTGAAAGGAAAAAAAGGTTAGAACAACAAGTTCATCCTCACCATCGCATCACACGCACCTGTACGGAACTGGTATCTAAGGGACTGACGCGCTCACCCAGGAGCGTCCCTCGGCAGGCCCGGGAGCAGCCCCAGCAGCGGGCGCGGGCGCGAGGCTCGGCACTGCTAATGGCTCCTGGCTCAGCGCTCACGGCCTAACCCCATTCACACTGTTTCACCAATTTTATTCTGACTAAGGACACTGGTCGCAGCAGTTACTAACCAAAAGCACAAGGGTCATGAATCAAAGTCCATCCTTGTCCACGGACCCGGTTACTCTGCAGGTGTAACTGCATTTCCCATGCAGACTTGCTACAAATTTCTCCTGAATCACAGCGACCCCCTCACAGAGCAGGATCACAACAGGCTCTCCTCTACGCCCGCCTGACCGCCAGGAGGAAAAGGCACCAGGACGCCCCGCACCGCAAGGATCTTTCCTTCAGAGAGAAGGCACGATCACCTCGACTACCCATCCTCCCGGTCTTAGCCTACCAACCTCGTCCGCAAAGTATGGGGGACTTCAGTTCAGGACACTGTTTCCCTCTCTGTCGAGGACTCTACCAGCCAGAAATCAAATATAAAATTTTCTTTTCATTTCTGGAAGCATCTTTTTTCCTCTGATTTATCAGTAATATTTCTTACTCTTTCCTAGTGAGACCAAAGGCATGAAAAGGCAGATCAAAAAGCAAATCCTCAACGTCATCCGTCTTCACCCACCCCGCAAGGAAATGAGCTCTGCTCTATTTTTCTGATTCCAAATAATACAGGCTCACTGCAAAAAATTCAAACACAGAAAAGTGTAAGGAAGGAAAAAACTACTGTAGAAAAAAATACTGATAACTATATTTTTATGATTGCGCTTTCAATACTTCATGCATTTATTTTATAAAAGAGGGTTCTTATCTGAATTACACACAGTATTTTGCGTCTCCTCCACCCTCCTGCCCTCACGCAGGTGGTGAACAAGCTGGTGTGTGCTGCTCCTGGGCGTTTACGCTTCCTCTGCTCACGGAAACGTTCGCACAGAACTGCTGTGTGGTTTTCTTTTACGGTGACTGTGTTTCCAAATACAGAGTATGTTTTACATAAAGTAAGTAAAATGTATACATCTCCCAGCCAACCAGGACAGCTCTAACTTGTCAGGTTCCCAGTGACACGGCACTCGAGGGGAGGAGCACGCCTCCAGCGACTCCTTTAGTCGTGTTCAGTTTGCTTCTTATTTATCACTGTCACACACAACCCTGAAAAAAACTTCTTACAGAAACACGCTCAGGAATTTACCAGCATTTGTTAGTTCTAGATGTTATAATTAATACGTACCAGTGCATTTCTAAACATTATTTCTAATCTAGAGGGCATCCCCACTCTGAAGGGGGTGCTGTCTAGGACAAGTGCAAAGTGCTCTTCCAGACTCTCCTTCCCCTCAACCCTGGAATTACCTTGTCCGTTGCTAGATTCCACTCTGGGATCCTGTATCTTTCTCTTCTTGGCCTAACCCATCATTTTGTTGGAGAACGTCCTCCAGTACCTTTCTGAGAAAGGATGCATAGGTGGTAAATTTTTGCCTTGTGTGTTTTGAAAGGTCTTTACTCTCTCCACCTAACACTTGTCTGAGAGTCTGCATAGGAAATCGTTTCACTCTGCGTTAGAAAGCATTGCTTCACTGTTGGGCTCACGGGTGCCAATCCTGCCCCTCAATCTTTATATTTGACTTGAATCTTTTTCTTTGGAATCATTATCCTCTCTTGTTCTCTAGTTTTCTGTAATTTCAAAATAATATGCCTGGGTTCAGATCTTTTTCAAAGTAACTGCACCATTATTCAGTGGGCATTTTCAACCTACAAACTCAAATCCTTTGGTTCCAGGAGATAGTCTAGCACTATTTCTTTGAGAACTTTCTCCACTCCCTCTGACTTTCTCCACCTGGTCCCCCATGAGCTGCGTGTTGGCTCATCTGCACCGATACTGCACATTTCTGATCTTTTCTCTTCTGTCTCCCTTGCTTTTTGTTCTTTACTCTGATAGATTTCCTTCCCTTCATCTTTCCCACCTCCAAGGCCACCTCCGCCATCAGCGGCAGCACAGCCCTCAGATGGAGGGACGACAGGCAGTCAGGACGGTGGAGTCCACTACTTCCTAAAACCTTCAACCCTGCTTGTTTTCGGCCAGCTTTCAACGCTGACTCAGAAAGCGTTAGAGCCGCTCGTCCCTGAGTCTGCTCGGGTTGCGACGCAGGTGCCGCCACGCTTCTCCCTGGCGGGCTCTCTCTCTGCAGGCTTTCTCTGGTCCAGTAAGTTAAACACCACTGACTGACTTCTTCAGAATTGCATTCACAACTCTCATCTTTTGCCATCTCCTCTCTCATTCTCTTTGTTCTTGTGCATTTACACGAGTTTCTTTATTCCTTTACTGTCTTTCTTTTTTAAAGACTGGCACCTGAGCTAACATCTGTTGCCAATCTTTTTTCTTCTTCTTCTTCTTCCCAAAGCCCCCAGTACATAGTTGTACATTCTAGCTGTAGATCCTTCTAGTTCTGCTAAGTGGGACGCCGCCTCAGCACGGCCTGATGAGTGGGGCCATGTCTGTGCTCAGGATCCGAACCAGCAAATCCTTGGGCCTCTGAAGCAGGACGCATGAACTTAACCACTCAGCCACGGGGCTGGCCCCTACTGTCATTTTTTTTTTTTTTTTTAAAGATTTTATTTTTTCCTCTTTCTCCCCAAAGCCCCCCAGTACATAGTTGTATATTCTTCGTTGTGGGTCCTGCTAGTTGTGGCATGTGGGACGCTGCTTCAGCATGGTTTGATGAGCTGTGCCATGTCCGCGCCCAGGATTCAAACCAACGAAACACTGGGCCGCCTGCAGCGGAGCGCGCGAACTTAACCACTCGGCCACGGGGCCAGCCCAAGGAGGATATCTTTTTAAAAAATCTATGCCAATGAGATTTTTGAGTGAGAAAGATTGGTTATGAAGAAGTCAGTATATTCTTATGACTGACTGAAAGGTGAAGAATGTTCCAAGTAGTCTGTCCCAGCAGAGAAGACTTGCTTGAGTTTACTTAGTGTTACCAAATCAGTTCCGAGGCATAAAATTTCACCGTATTTCTTGAGTGCTAGGGTCAAAGACAAATTCTTTATCTCCAAGAAATTAGGATGACTATTAAACATATTGACCAAATGTTGGCTAATTATGAATAGCAAAATGAAATTTACTTAAAAGTTGAATCTTCACGACATATCTCAGTAAAAAACGTAAGAAAAACGTCATTAAAGGAGACGTTACTAAAATAAAAGTTAGTTATCTATATATGCAAAATAATCATTGGAAGGATATATACAAAAATGTTAACAGTGGTTATCGTTTGGTATTAGAACTATTTGCCTTTTTATACTTTGCTTACTTGGTAACAGGAATATATACTACTTTTGCAATGGAAGGGAGAATGTTGTTTTTTTTTTTTTTTTTTAATAAATCTATCACAACTGAGCCTTTGCGGCCACTCCTTTTTTTTTTTAAGATTTTATTTTTTCCTTTTTCTCCCCAAAGCCCCCCCAGTACATAGTTGTGTATTCTTCGTTGTGGGTTCTTCTAGTTGTGGCATGTGGGATGCTGCCTCAGCGTGGTTTGATGAGCAGTGCCTTGTCCGCGCCCAGGACTCGAACCAACGAAACACTGGGCCGCCTGCAGCGGAGCGCGCAAACTTAACCACTCGGCCACAGGGCCAGCCCCTGGAGAATGTTGTTTTTTATATATACTTAACACACGGTTTCAGTTTATCAGATTCTACATGATACAGTGGGGGGAAAATCAGTCTAGGTTTAACTTCAATTTAAAAAATACCATCGCATTTAAGTGCCAAGTTCCAGCACGTGCCGTATCAGCAAGTGCTGATGGAACAGGTACTCACACGGGCAATGCAGTAATCCTGCGGGTTTTCTTTTTCCAGACCATACTTCTCCAGAGCTTCAGCCACTGCGAAGTCTGCAGGGTCTGTAGTAGACAGCAGGATTGTCTTGTAGGGGATATTTGGTTTTAAACTATCTGCATAAATTCTCAGTGTTCCACCTGAAAAAAAATTTTGACATCTTTAAATATAACTTTACTTTATTCCAATAATAGAGCTAATGTTTACAATCACTTAAGAAAAGGGCACCTAAGTTCCAGCTGCAATGAGTGCAAAGACGGATATCTGTATAATAGTTCTATTTTCATTTCCTGTTAGAGGACACACAATGGCAGTAACCTGCTGACATGGTGACATCTTGCTACAGTGAACAATCCTGTGTGCCAGGACTGCGTCTGTCCTTGCGTCAAGTGCCAGCGGTTTCTGCAGTGATGGACCGATCTCCACCATGGGTGAGGGATGGACGGGAGGAACGTGGGGGTCCTCAAGTGCTGCCCCGTCCTCGACGGCTCTCCCTCTCCGTCCCCACGCACCATTATATACCCGTTCTCCCCATTTTCTCTACTTCCTGATCATCAATCTGAAACTTAAATTAAAAACTCGGGTAAGTTTAAAGATTAATCCCACTAAATAAATCAATTTTAAAAAGCTGAACTAGAAACCAGGAGACTTCAGGTGCTAGAGTCCAAAGATGTTTCATAAGGTATTTGCCACCAAAGTCCTAGACTCTGTTTTCACTTCTGGGTTCTGCAAACCAGAACGTCATTTCCAGCCGTGAACTCACTTGGGAGGAAAAAACCAACTAGAACAGCGCAACTGGGAGATGCAGAGGTTTTCTTTTTTATTTGTAGATTTCTCTCTAATGGAATTCTACATATGGTATACTATGGTATATTATATGTTATATTATTGTCACTCTGGTGTCACAGTGCTTGCTACTCATGATCTAAGGCCTCAAGCACTCAAGCCTTGGGTCTAGCCAGAGGAGGCCTGGGGAGGAAGTCAAGCGAGGCTCCCTCCCCTCCACCACGCGGGGCCTGGGGTGAGCTTTCCAACGTTCTTTTCTCCCTCGCCAATCACAGAGCTGCATTACGAGATCTGTGGCTCTCCTGAAGCAAGTTCGACATTTCCATGACTCCTTGCTGCTTCTTAATTCTAACGCAGTTATCCTGGCTAGTGAATATTTCTCATGTTCTCTTTTTCAATAAGTCTGGAACAAACCGCATTTTGACAACTTGATTCACGGTGAAAAAAAATGTTGGTCTTTTAGGAAGTCAGCTAGACCAGGCTAGTGTTAGAATGTGGACCTGCCGACGCAGGCCAGGAGTCAGGCTGTCAACATGTTTTACCACGTGCAAACTCACAGGGTTCGAGGGCCCACTGCTCCGACGCTGAGGACACAGCCATGAACACCCAGTGTCCTCACCCTCAAACAACTTACGTTCTAGTTGTGGGGTGCAGGGGAGAAGACTAGCAAGAAAACACGTAAAGAAATGATTGAAGACAGTGGCACATGCCGTGAAAACAGAAGCATGGTTGTGAGGAAGAAAGTGATGCGGGGCTTCCTAACGCCGGGTGACTAAGCCTTCTCTGAGAATCAATGTTTGTCACGACCCCTGAATGGTAAGGAGCAGCAGGCACGTGACCACGTACAGAGCTTGCTGGGCAGATGGACCAGCAAGAGTTAATAAGGTCTATTCTTGGGCTAAGTCTGGCCAAGGTCACTGGCCAAAGTGGACAGACCCCGGTGGAAAGAGGGAGACACAGTCAGAGGCTGGCTGAGACCAGACCACGCAGGACTTCACAGTCCACCATCGCGAGTTTGGCTTTTATTCTAGTTGAAGTGGGAGCCACCAGAAGGCTTCAAGCTCTGTGTGTCTAAGTGTGTGTGCCTGTGCGCGCCTGTGTGCAGGCAGGTGGGACCTGACTTGGGGTAAAGACAAGCTGCAGCGAGGGGCAGCAGCAGCAGGGAGGCCAGGTCTTAGAGCACAGACTCCACTCCATCGAAACGCGTTCCGTCCTCACTGAGTTACACTCTACTTCCAAATGCGGCCTGACGTCGTTGACAGGAAAAACATGCACGCTTCTGTAGACGGAGGGAACACCTATCTGCTTTACACGTTAGACAACCAAAGAGTAAACCAGACCATCTGTTCTGAAAGGGGAAGATGGACTTGTATCTTCACCTAAATGGCTACCAAAAATGCAAATGGCCAGAAATTTAGTTTTTCTTAATACTTGACATCTGCTGAAAGCCTAGACTAGTACCTCGTGATCCCAAAGTTACAGACTTTGCAGATGGAAGACTATTTGGTCCGAAAAAATTTAAGGACAAGACTTATCAGAAAGTAATTTAAAAAAATCAGCATGGTTCCTACAGAAGATATAATTTTGAGTGGCACTCCTTCTAAAGGACATGACGAGGGAGCTGTAAAATTCATATCCATGTGGCCAAATGAATTCAGCTATTGAATGGAATTACTTTTATCATCCATTTGAATGTTTCAGAACATCAGTCTAAAACTTAATTTGGTTTTAATATAATGACTAAGGCATTCTGATAAAAAGAATACAATGAATACAGTCTAATTTAAAGAGTTGTTTACAAGCATATACCATGGTCTTGTCCATAATAGAGATACATGCCTCCCAACGTGCTAAGGAAGGAGAGAGAGATGCTAACATTTCAAAGTTCCTACTATGGACTAGAGCCTATTGGTGTAAACATCTGTTTCAGTTCTAAAATTAAGGCAGGATTACTACCCTGTTCTGAAGATGAACAAACCAAGGCTCGCAGTACATAAGGATCCCCAGTGCAACCCCACTCCAGAGTCCAGGGCACAATGCCCTGCTGCTCCCAACACTGTTCACGACAACCTAAGGTGGAAGGACTGACTCCCTAAAAAGTCTCTTACAACTTCGTTAATGAATGTCTCAGCAAGAAAAAACCATGACTACAACTGTTGGTAGAATATCTGTGCCATGTCAAGTAACTGAAATATACAGGGCATTTCTGGGTCAATTTCACTTTGAAGCCATCACAAAGTGCCTGTGCCTGAGCAGCGAAGTCTGATCAGCTGTGAGTTAGACAGACACTCGTATGTCATCAGAACTTGGGGAACCAACCCTCAGGCTCAGCGGTCACTCTCAGAGAAGCCTCACCCACATGTGGCCACGTCCCCAGCCCACATTCTTCATCAACCTAATAGCCAAGCTAATAGCTACAGCAGGTTATGAGGATATATTTTTCTAAGTTATTTATTAAAAATAAACAAAATGCCCGAAACTTAATATATCTGACTTGCTTAATATTAACCACAAACAGCTGTTTTGCTAATAAGAGCTAGTTTTTTAGGGTTTCCTGGGAGTCTACACAGAAAAATGCTCTTTTCATCCTCAACCCCCCTTTAATAGACGAGCCCTACTTCTTGGATGTTCTGCTGTTTCTCCTCCTAACTCTTTGCAGGGTTTTTTTTTTCTGTTTTCTTTGCCAACTCCTCTTAACAATGGCCTTCCCTTAAATTTTTGTATTATCTGTAAACTTTCTACCCAAAACAATCTCATCCACACCCATGATGTTGCCCCCAACCACAGATTACTCCCAAATCATCATCTCCCTGTGTCACTGCTGACTAGAACTCTAGTCACTGAAGTACCAGCCTAAGAGCTGCCCCACATCATGCCAGCACCTCTTATGACACACATAAACAACACCTATCCTCCTAGAACTCTAGTCACTGAAGTACCAGCCTAAGAGCTGCCCCACATCATGCCAGCACCTCTTATGACACACATAAACAACACCTATCCTCCACTCCCAATGTTCCTGCGTGCCACAGCCCATCAATGCCTATCCAAGTAAAAGCAGGGTCATCCTGCACGCCTCCCTCCCAGTACAATCCAGGCTGTTACCTCTTACATATGTCCTCCATCCTCTCTCTGCAGCCCACTGTCAATGATCGAGTGCAGCGGCTCAGTCCTTACACGGGCAACACAATACTTTCACTGGGCGTGCCTCCTTCCGATCACCAACCCCTCAAACCCATCAGCTGCTCTGCTTCCACAGCAAACTCTTCATATCTGAAGCTTAGGCTAAGCTCCAGCTTAGGACTCTTCAGCAGCTTATTAACAGATTATATCAAAATTTCCCATCAAAGTACCCCCAATGGCAGAGGAAAATAAATATGGGTCCCTGGGGGCATAGCCTGAAGTGACAAGCAGAGTTTCCTGTTTTATCTTAACAATATCTATAAATGTTACATCCTAATCCACAATGAAAACTCATTTCTTATAAAAACATTTTAAGCTACTTATAAAAACTGATACTCCAAGCCAGCTATCTTTACCATGACTCACACACCCCTGAGCCCACACTTAAACATTCCTCAAGGAACCACTGAGGAAATTATGGTTGCAATAATGACGCCAAGCCCCTTCCCGTGGCATAGAGTCCCCTCAGTTCTGGTACGTAGTAGGTTAGCATAGGGAGGTGTGCCTGGGCATTCCTCTTGTCCTTTTTAAAATTTTTACTTTCTTCTTCTTCTTCATTTTCATATTTTCTTTCCCTCCTCATGTTCTTTTTCTTTTCTTTTTTTTCTTGAGAGTATATATTTGTACGTCATTTCAAATCCTTGATTAAACAAGACAGGAGATATATATATAAACAGATAATCATTTGGGTCTCAAAAGTACTCTATTAAATTATTCACGGAACTAATAAGCCTGTCACTCTCCTGGTCTTTTTGAATCAGCAACACTACAATTCTCCAGAAATATATAATTAGGACTCGGTTATAAGGGGACTAAGGCTCAAAAGATGCTAGGGTGGCAAACATGTTTCAGGGCCAGCTTCCATCATGGCCAGGGGCTGCTGGAGCACCACAGTGCAGCACAGAGCTCTGCAGACGCACAGGAATCTCAGCAACTTCTGCCACGGCGGCAGAACCAAGGGACCATGCGTTCCAGTACCAGGGTCCACAGACCACCTCACAAACGAAGACAAGAGGGGCCACTAACAGAGAGACTGTTCCCGTGAATCCGACGTACGTATAAACAGCCGCCCCTGACAAATCTCACCTGCTGCCACACACGCATATCAGACTGTACTTATAAAAACGATCTGGATAGGGGCTAAAACCCTTTGACTCAGGCTCGGATTCAAGAGAAGAGGTCCAGAACCAAGCGATCCCTCCCAGGCCAAACCGTTATAGACGAGGCTTTAGAGAAACACTGCCAGTCCCAACGTTCAAAACCCTCAAACAAACAAGTAAGTATACAGGATGCAAGGGGATGACGCCCAGCTCTTAAGCAACTGGATGTAACATTAGGAAAGAACTACACAGTTGATGACATTTTAAGACAGACATTTTCAGGAAAGGCTGGATCAATGATATACCCCTCTAATACAATGACTTTTTGAAACTCAAATAATTATGCTGTTATTTTTTAACAAGTAAAACTACTTTATAATTAACATGTAACTTTATAACAAGTATTATTTTCTTTGCTGAATACAATTACAGGTTAATTACAAATAAAGGTTTTATGCCACATAGCTAAAAATATACAAAAATAATTTACAGCTCAAATACTAAAGTCACATTATTTTTATTTTGATGTTATTACTATATATTACAGGGAAAAGCAAATAAGTTATGGTTGTTAGGAGAGAAGAATTTTATTGTAAGAGAATAGATACCAGATTTTCTAAAATCAAAATAGTAAAAAACATATATATTTCCTAGCACTGTCCGCTAAACAGGCTTAGAAGCAAAGACTAAGGAATAACAGGGAGCCCTGCTGGCACCCAGATGCCCATCCCTCCAGAAGATCAAGCCCCTCTCTCCGGCAAGAGAAAGAGCAGGAAGTGCACCTGCTCAGCCTAGCCATCCTGTCACCAGGGAAGCTCTCCCAGAACACTGGGGCCATGTCAGAGGCTCAGGCGCCAGCTGGAAGAGATGCCCATGGGCACAAAGTGACACTTCAAGGATCAGTAAGGACAACAACTACAACAGATGGAAAAACACTGAGAAGTTTTAAATCCATTAGTTCATTAAAAAATTTTACAAACCACTGCTCACCTGTGGATGACGAAGGTAAGTATTTCTGTCCCACCTCCTCCCTACAAAAAAACCCCTAAAGCTTTATCTGTATATCATCAAGGAAATCGAGAAAACAGGAGGCAGAAACAGTACATAGCACCACAGGATGTAGTCAGCAAAATCTACAAAACAAGAAACCTAGCTTTTTAAAACAAACCAACGAATAAGCAAACTGGGAGGTAAGATAAAAGAGAAGAAAGGGGATTTTAGAACGAAAGACATAAATGACACATTAACCAACTGCCCTACGTGGGTTTTACTAGGATCCTGACTCAACCAAAGCAGTTACCTGAGGCACCCAGGAAAATCTGACGATGACTGGATATTCGGGGATGTTAAAGAATCACTGTCAATTCTTTTTTATGTGACCACGGCACTGTGGTTTGTTTTGTTTCTGTTTTTAAGAATCCTTACCATTCAGGAAACTATATCAAAACATTTACAGATGAAATAACGAGAAATTGGGACTTGCTTCAAAATAATAGTTTGGGAATGGGAGCAACATATGTGAGAGCAGAGATGAAACATGAGTTGTTAATTACAAAGCTTGATAATAAGCACATGGGGAGGTCATTATATCTCTCTCTTCTTTTGTGTATATTTAAAATTTGCCAAAATTTAAAAAAGAAAGCCACATTGGGGAACAATCTGTAAGTAAACATATCTCTATGTGAGTAGAATGCTCACACTTAAGGCAAACTGATTCTGTATCAGACACACAGTACACTCACTCCTAACAGGCGACATCACCCACTAACCTTACTGAAGCAAGGCCTCACGCGTATATAAGAAGTGTAACTAAATAACACCCTTTACAGCAAATATGACAGAGAAAAACAATTCAAAGTCGTACCCGAATCAGGTCGCCCATCTGAGCTCCGAAATTCCTGCATTCTCTTCTCCAGTTTTTGCTGCCTCCGCCGTTTCATAACCACCTCGGGATTGGAAATAGTCCGGGTGAAGCTGGTTTCAGGCATGTCTTTGTAAACCTCGGCAGCCAGTCGAGAATTCTCACTGCAAGAAAAAACAGCACCAACAAGACTTTAAAACTTTTGTATTAGAAATAGTTACAGTGTAATCATCCCCAAATCCAACGGCAGACGTCATCAGGTTCATGTGCCCCCCCCACAGGTCTGCCGTGCTGCGCACAGAGAATAAAGCTCCTCTCAGTACAAACTAATACACTGAACCAGCAGGAATTGGTAACCAAAATTTTATAGTGAGTTTATATAACTTAACTATTGTGTACTCATTAATGAAACTAAAAGAGAAATGTATAAATTACACATTTCAGTAATTTTAACCAATTTTATCCTAAAACAGACCAAATGAGTAACACAACATTCCAACCACAAGAAATAAGGTATTAAATATACTTTAATTTAATAAATGTCTGTCCAAATTAAGTAAATCTTGAAGAACTCCATATGATTTTTTAAGATGATTAAACAACCACAAGAGTTACCAGTGTTCATGCTCTTGAAGCTAAACTTTCAAAAGGCAATTCTCCAACAGCCCCTACGACAAGAAGTCAATTGTACAGAATAATGAGCTGAAAGTGAATATTAAGGTAAGACTGATACACTTGACTAAATTTTGACAAATATACTTTAAAAATGTCATTTCTAATCATAAAAATAATTTAATTAAAAACCAGTCAAGCTTTGAATCAAAGTTGAACAACTTGACTCACTTTTTAAGTAGCTCATTTTCCTAACACAAATAATCTATCACCTCATAAACTATATTGATAAACAGAAGAAACTGTAACACATGTTTTAAACTCTCCTTTTCTTTGACACTTTCACATCTGGGCAATCTACGCACACGAGCTCCTTCTCTGCGTCACTGCACTAACCAGAGGCGTACGAGCTGACACTGTGCTCAGGAGCCCTCATTCAGGACACAGGCGTCACAGCCGAACAACTTCTCAACCCACTCCGATGCAATCCAAAATGGGCCCAAATTCCACTCTCAAGTCAACCTCACTCACTGACAAACGGTTAATACCCTCAATACAGAGAGAACACTTAGAATCTACCAAAAAATGGAAAAAGAATAGAAAAGGCCATTGCAACAGAAGAATATAAATGGTTAATGAACATGTAGAAAGACGTCTACCTTGCTAATGACAAAACAATTCAGTTAACTGAAGATACTCTGCACTGCAGAGACAGCAGACTGTCTGTAACACCCAAGAATTCTCAGGCTGGGAGGCAACGAGAGGGCTGGCGGGCTGTGAGAGACTTTCCTAGGGGCAGCCCGGCCATGGCAGCATCCCGAGGTGTTGCTGAGCCACTCTTCTAGCATAGCTGCTGAGGAAGTAATCAGATGAGCCCCCAAAGTTGTAGAACAGGGAGACTGACCAGAGTATTATTTACAATGCCAAAAGAACCTGTAAACTACCTACAAGCACATGAAAAGGGGCCGGCTACAAAAACTATGGAAAAACTGTATGACAGAATACTGCACATTTAAATTACTTAATACATATTTTTGGTGAAAATTTATATATACTTGTGAATACATATATGTAACATATATATATTTTAGTGGAAAAATGTCATGTGAAAAGTACTAGTTTCAAAAGACTTTGATTATATTTCTATTTAAAAACTCTACCCAAACGAAGCGCACACATTTCTGCAGTGAACACAAACTATGGTTCCCCTGGGGCTCATGTGGCGACAGGGGACCCCTTTCCCTTTCACAAATCCATACACTCTGACCTTCTAAACTGAGAGCGGATGACTTCAGCACAGAAAGGCAGCACATGGAATACTACGCAGTCAACACCAAGGCGGGTAAGAGGCCTAGGAGAAGGCACGTGAAAACTGAACAAACTAAGCTGCAAACTGACGAGGCTGACCTTCAGAGCTGGAGACTCCAATGTAAGGCGGGAAAGCCGGCTGCTTCTAACGTCTGGTTTCTGTTCTAACCATTTCCCTTATTCCCTCAGCTCTGGGGTCAGAAGCCCAGAGACCTTTGGACAGGTAAGTACATGTACGACAGGGCTGGTGTCACAGAGCACGAACGGGAGGTGGTGGGACTGGCATGAACTAGAGGCTACATTTGAACCCTAAAAGGGAGGGCTGCCTTTCTCGCTGGCCCTGCCAGCCTCGGATCAGGTGTTGAGCGTATCTGAGGAACATAAGAAACCACTGCTGCCTGAAGGACCAAAAGAACAGAGAGCAAAGGCCAGGAGAAGATGAAGAGAACGCCGACATCAATGGTGCACTCAGTGAAAACAACACTGTCCGGCAGTTGGCTTACTGCAGAGGAGCAAGCACAGGTACCGCCAACAAGAAGTCCTGCTCAGGGAGACTCCCCAGCCGCCCTCGACACAGGAGCAGGACTACACCCCAACTAACTTCTTAGCTGACGTTCAGCCTTTGCCTAAGTCACCTAGTAATTTAACGGGGTCTGCAGCATTGACAACATTTGGCTTAAAGCACAGAAACAGGAATATTTCCAAAATTAACTTACATGTCATCCCCTTGGAAGGGTCTATCATCTTTATCAGACGCCTGTCTCATTGCTTCTTTTTCTCTCTTCTTTTTCTCCTTCTTTTCCTTCTTTGAGAGAGTTCTCTTGAAGTTCTGGATGACGCCTTCTTTCTCCTGCTTCTCAGGTCCGTTACTTTGAGCCTTCTGATAAAAGCGACACTGTCACTACGCTGGCAACTAGGCAGAATCACAACAAGGTGCCTGCGGCCAAGCTGACCCCATCGCACAGGCCACAGGGAAACCGGGCAGCCAGGACAGGGAAGCCGGGTGAAGGAAGTGTTCTCACCTCCACCGTGCTGACAGTTACACGACCTGTTTATCAAACTGAATGAACTGCACATGCAAGATCTGAGCAGTTCACTGCATGTAAACTTTACCTCAACCCAAAACTGCAGGCAAGCAAACAAAACACCAAACTCAGTAAGAAAACTGCAGGGGGAATCAGGAAATCTAATTTTCGATAAGTAATCCAAATAATTTACATAATTTGAATAAAAGGAATCTAATAAAAATATGGAAATAACTAAGAATTTCAATCATTATCTACTTTACAGATGTTTTCTCGACTTTAAAAGAAATGTTAAGAGTAGCCATAATAAATTAGCTTTTATGAAGCAAAGTTATAAGCATTGCGTTTGTGCAAAAACCTCCGATTTCTCTTCCAGATCATGCTTAATATGTTTGCTTGCTTATTCTTAATTTATAACATAGCCTGCTAGCAGATGACACAGAGACAAATTACTTTTAATATAACTTAATAGGCTGACTGATAAAGAATCAAGAAAAATAAGAAATAATGATTATTTTATTGGGAAGGAAAACCGCCTTCTGCTTTACGAGTCAGCATCTCCACTTGCGTGCTAGCTGCCTCAGCTCCATCCTGAGCCTGAGAAGAGTGCTAATGTGCGTCCCCGAGAAGCTGTGGCCCACAGAAAAGCACAGCAGCCGAAATCGTGGTACAGAAATAAAACATGAACAGTAGGGAAAAACCCCAAAAACAGCTATCCACTCTTACTCTGTATTTGCTGCAAACGCAACAGCTCATTAGAGAGCAGTGAGGGGCCGGGAACACACTCTGTGCGTCCCAGACTCAGCAACACGGGACACGGACATCACACACACAAAACGAACATCTCTCTGCTGCCACAGACAACAATGGCACTCTTTTCCCAATGTGTGGGGGGAAAAATTAAATAGAAGATTTTTCTCAAAATATTCTTAACCTTTGTATTTGCTATCATTGTCAATACTGAAATCCAGCATCACATGTCATTTGATTTAACACAGAGTAACGGCTATTTTCAAGTTATACCAATCTCTCATCAATTTCACATAGGAACAGTGGCACAGAATTCCAGGCACCCTACACTGGAGAATGTCTGAGAATTGCCCTACTTCGTCATCCAAGGAAACCAAGGCAGTTTCCTCATCTCTAACCTTGCACATATAATACAAAAAAGGTCTGAAATGGGCCTTATTAAGTTGTATCTGAAAGTTCACACATAAATAGTAAAGTTTTACTTTTCCCTTCTGATTCTTATTAAAACATACTTTGACTTTATAACTTGGAAAAACAAAGTGGAGCCAATTACTTGCTCATCAAATCTCTTAACAACAAAAGCTTACGTGACTCTTCTTTGAAAGATCAGGAGCAGTACTTGGGGTTATTCAGTGAAACAGAGGATGAAGCAGGGAGAAGCTGGGCCGCTTTTAAACTAGCTTATGGGAGGACGAGGATAAAACAAGAGTTTAGGAAGAGGAGTGAAAAAGAGAGTGAGCGCCTCCAGCCCACCACCAGCCTCCCACGGACCAGTGAGACGGGCCGGAGCAACATCCGTGCAGACAGGGCTCCTACCTTAGGAGGAAAGGCGTCGTTCTCATTCTTAAGGACAAATCGGCCCTCTCGATCATCTTTATTCCAATTCAACTGTACAACTAGGGGTTTCTCATCTACATCCAATCTTCTTTCTTCTTCAAAACATAAAACAAAAAGAAACAGCACAGTTATTTAATGGCACTAAGCTAACAGAGCATTCTGCTAGACATTTAATTTTACAGACATAGAATACCTTAGTACCTCAAGCACTTACTGAGAAACCGACACGTAATTCAAGCTGTTAAGCGACAGTTTGAACAATTAATTCAGTATTTTGTTGCTTCTGTATGTACACTACCCTGTATTCAGTGCCAAATACTGACCAGGGACAATTTCCTCCTAACATTTAGAATCTAATCAGGAAAATAACAGAAATACCCATGAACTAGGAAAAAAAATATACAGGCTTTGTTATAAGCCTGTATCTGTAAATCAAATTCTCTTATATGCAACTGGAAACAAGGGAATAAAGTTACTGTGACACCCAAGTTCCCAGGACGCCCAGCAGACTCTGCTTCTTACTGACGCCACACGCCGTGGAGAGAGGGCAAGGAGCCACCACCATGAGGCCTGGGAGTGAGGGCTGTCCTCTGCCTGTCTCTGGGCATCTGCTCCCTGTCTGCAGAACTCCCCCTCCTCAGCCGCACACCCCTTCCCCAGCGGAGCTCCGTCTGCTTTCCTTTGTACCATCAACTGCTCAGGTGAGCGTCTGCCTTCCTTACTTATCAGAAACCTACCGAGCCGCTGGCACACTGACCAGAGCGACTCCTGAGAGCCCCACGGCCCGACCCCCTACTAGAAGCCGACAGGTGGCAGAGGTTAGCCAGGCAACTGTACACAGGATGAGCCAAAACGAGGGCAGCTAAGACAGGCGGCAGCTGAAGAATTACCGTGGTAAAGGACCCAAGAACTAAGAGGACGAATTTAAAGACAAACCGACTTACAGAGGCTTATAATAAAACCAGACGAACAATGATATTATCAGAATATAAGAATAACAACTTCCTAATTATTATTTTATCAACTGAAAATATGAGAAATGAAAATCAGAGTAATAAATTAGAGATTGGATCAAGAAGTCTGAAATTCCTGCTACAAACCAAAATTACCAAATTGCTCATGTTGCAAAATTTGTACTAGAGCAAAATCCTTCATAGTGTATTTTTTTAGAGAACTAATATTAAAAACAAGTCTAAATCATAAAAGTAACACAAAACCAAGGGTGGGCTGTCCTAAAGGATGTGTGCCCACCTACAGAATGTAAATATAGTCAGGGTCCCACCACAAGGTCACACTTTAAGATCTCTTCTGCCTCAGTGGTTCTCACGCTTTTTTTTTAAATAGCAGAATGCTTTTTATTTTTCCAATTGCTTTCACACAAGGAATGCTAATGTACAAAAAGGGTAAGAGTGGAGTTTCCCTGGAGGGGGAAGCACGGGGTGGGGTCCAGAACGCAGCCCACGAGAGCTGCATGGCTCACAAACACGGGCTGGGTGCCCACAGCGCTCCCTGTGAAGCATATTAAATTTTCAGAGGAACAAGTTGCACCTGCCAGATGCGGCCGGACTCGCTACCTCCAGGCCGCCCGGAGTCGGCACAAGACCGTACATCATCCCTGTGTCAGCGTCAAGCTGGGTTTTCCTCGGTGCCGTAAAAGACCACAGGCACTGCCCCAAAACCAGTGTGGACAGGAGATGAGGACGCTGCCTCCAATCCGGGAGCTGGGCAGGGCCCAGGAGGCACACCCGCCCCCACAGGGAGTAATTATGAGTAAGAACGCAAGGGAAATTTTAGTTTTCCTTTCATTTTATCACACTATTTTTCCAAACATCCGACAAGTTGTTAGAACATAAATACTAACTTTTCTGAATCTAACTACTCAATAAAATGAACTGTTAGGTATCTCCTTTGGCCTGGGGGTGCCAGTGGCAGAGAGCTTGGGTTTGCGTGCTCCGCTTCGGCAGCCCAGGGTTTGCAGACCTACACGTCACTCATCAAGCCACAGTGTGGCGGCATCCCACATACGAAACAGAGGAAGACTGGCACAGATGTCAGCTCAGGGCCAATCTTCCTCACCAAAAATCAATCAATCACTGACACACTACGGGTTCTGTGACCTGGAAAAGATTGAGACCCTGCACAGTAGGGCTGTCCTCACCGTGGAGGCACAGGGGAAGCACTGCTCTGAGTACGAAGCTGTGGAAGGTACAGCCAGACTGCCCACAGTGCTCCCCTCAGGAGGAGGGCAGAGACCATTCCCGCCTCCCTCACACGCTCTTGTGTTTCTATCCCCTCACCAGGAATAGATTTTACTTTTTAGTTAAAAACAAATCTAGTAGCAAAAATTTAAAGGAAAAAGGTTCCTTTAAAACATAAAAGTCACTCCATTTTTAGATTTCAAATTTCAATATTACAGGTTTTCCAAAGATTTCACTTGGTGGTATTCAAATGACCAAAGAGTACAGACAGAGACACGAGTCAGCCCTAATGGCCTAGCAGTTAAAGTTTGGCACTCCCATGGCTTCAGTAGCCCGGGTTCGTTTCCTGGTCTGTCAGCAGCCACACTGTGGCCGCAGCTCACACAGGAGAACTAGAAGGACTTACAACTACAATATACAACCACGCACTGGGGCTTTGGGGAGGAAAAAATAAAGAAGACTGGTGACAAACGCTGGCTCAGGACAAATCTTCCCCTGCAAAAAAAGAGTGCAGACAGAAAGAAGGATGAAAGTGAGAGAGATTTTCTTCCTCTTTGTAACCTATTTACGATTTTAAGGTAAAGAAAAAAATTCAACCTCAGAAAAACCATTCAAAATGGAGGCTGTCTTCTCTTGTCAAATTCAGTTTCAGTATTTTTATGTAGGTGACGCCTCATAATCTTAAAAGGGTAATAAGCAAATATAGCCTACCTTATACATTACTGGGGAAAAAAGTGTTTCGTCACACCTGAATTCCACACACTACAAAAACTTTAATCCAATTTCAAATGTAGAAAGAAAGAAAGCTGCAATTTTTATTTTATTTTTTTTGCTGAGGAAGATTAGCCGCGAGCTAACATCTGTGCCAGTCTTCCTTTATTTTATATGTGAGGTGCTGCCACAGCATGACTGACGAGTGGTGTAGGTCTACAACTGGGATCAAAACCTGCAAACCCAGGGTGCTGAGCGGAGTGTGCCAAGCTTAACCACTAGGCCACAGGGCCGGCCCCTAAAAGCTGTATTTCTGAAGAAAAATAAACTATGTTCAAAAAGGATTTGCGGATGGAATTAGCAGGTATTCCACGGGGTCTGTGTGATACATAATCCTTTATTTGCTGCAGTAATTGGCATTTATATTTTTTTTTTACAGATGACTCAACATTTCCAAAGCACTCATAAAAAATTTTACGAATTTCTACATTTCTCATCAGCCTAATTTTAAATTGCTATTTGATATAGATGTATGAAATTTCCTGAAACTTCTAACATTAAAACAAGAAGAAATTACTAACTACATAACAGTTTCCTCAAGATACCATGATTATTCCCAAAGAATGAAAATACAGTTTCACATTACAAAAATATTAAAGTAAGACTGATGATTCATACCCATAATATTTAACTGTGTTACACGTAATTGTAGTATTATCATCTACACATAAGAGTTCTACGAAACATTTCTCCAAAAGCAGCACATCATCAATGTATGTGACATCCAGCTCCGTCGGATAATTTTAATTATGAAACGTCATGCTTTGGAGAAATAATCACACGTAAAATTAATGTATTTCATTCCAACTTCCAACAAATGCATGTGCTAGGAACTTACAAGAACATTTCCCAGACACACAAAACTCTGCCAACCTGTCATGTGCTTCCCCTGCCCCTGCAGACAAAGAAAGAGGAAACCAGTAGTAAAGCAGGGCGGTCTGTTGACTGTGACAGAAACGCCCCCGGGCCAAGCGGCTGTTGGGAAGCTGCCCATGCACGAGATGAGGACGCCCCAGCAGCCCCGGCTGCCCACACTGACCTCCGCTGACATGCACCTCATAGAGCGAGTACTTGGGAGAAGACAGCATTCGCATGTCAGGCCGGAACTTCTCTGCGAGCGTCTCGATGACGTCTTGAGTGGTGGCCGTACTAGAGACCCGGATACACTTTGTCGCAAAGTTTCCAGCAGCTTTATCTTGAAAATAAAATCTCATCACTCCATGGAACTCCAAATCCTGAAAGAAACCAAAATGATACAGCTTTAGAAAAACAACATTCTGAAAAGATTCACTTTCTATAACAATAACAAATGAAAAAGTGTACTCACCACTTATTAAAAATGTTTCATTACCATAAACATCTGAGACAGAAACCAAGAGACGAGAGTTTAGACTTCAAATTTAATCAGGAGGCTCAGGACAAGTTATTTACGACTGCTCTGCCCGACCCGTCTCAGGCACGAGGCGCGGGCTGCAGAGCAGCTGACGTTAACAACAACCAGCACTTACTGAGTCTTCAGCAAGCGCCAGCCACTCCTTGACATGCACCATTTTATCATGTCTTTCTGACAACCCATCAAGTAGATACTATCATTGAACCTTATTTTCAAGACTTGGTCATTAAAACTCACAAAGTTTGAGTATTCTGCTCAAGCAGCTCTGCAGCAAATGCAGAGTCAAAACCCAGATGCATGACCTTGCAAGCCTGTGCCTCTGTCCCTGAGGCCTGTCTGGCCCTGAGGCTACAGAGACTGCGTGAGACTGCACGAGAAGACCGAGGGAAACGCCAGCCCCAGCCTACTACGAGTGTGATGAATATCTAACACTTCAGAATACAACTCTAACTCATTTTCAAAAGGAACTACCTGCCCAAAATCAATGAACGCAATTTAGATTTTTCTTAAAACCTTACTTCTGAGAAAAGTACAGTGAAATTCCAACCAAAGGAATACCACTATAAGACAGGCTGAAGCCCATGCAACTGTGGGATGCTCTTTCCCATTATTTCCTTTTTTTCCTTTTAATCAATTAAAATACCGTTTAAAACTTATGTGAGTGTTCAGGCCCTCTGCTATAAGCACAGACCCAGTGGCTCACACCCCACAGTTTGGGAACCACTGTACCTGGGAGAACGTTGTTCGTTTGCTGGGTTACACTTTACCTGGGGACGTCAGGGAGTGAGGTCCAGAGTTTCTATGTACCCCGTAATTTCCTTGAACACAGAAACAAGCACAGCTCTCCACAAAATTCCGAGGCTCCTTTCTAATGGCCAGGTCACCCTCTGCACCAGCAGATGACTCAAGACGTCATCGAGACGCTCGCAGAGAAGTTCCGGCCTGACATGCGAATGCTGTCTTCTCCCAAGTACTCGCTCTATGAGGTGCATGTCAGCGGGGGTCAGTGTGGGCAGCCGGGGCTACTGGGGCGTCCTCATCTCGGTCAGTGTGGGCAGCCGGGGCTGCTGGGGCGTCCTCATCTCGGTCAGTGTGGGCAGCCGGGGCTGGCGGGGGCGTCCTCATCTCGGACGTCCTCATCTCATCTTGCAAAGGCTTGCAAGGTCATGCATCTGGGTTTTGACTCTGCATTTGCTGCAGAGCTGCTTGAGCAGAATACTCAAACTTTGTGAGTTTTAATGACCAAGTCTTGGCAAAGATCCAGTTCCCCACCTGCAGTCCCCCTCGATTCTTCCCTCTCTCATCCTCCCACCTGAAGGCTGCGGAAGACGGGAGTGGTGCCATCTTCCAAACAGACCCAGAGCCCACCCAGAATCTCGAGGACCAAGCCCACCAGGCTGCCCCTCAGTGTCTGTGGCGGCTTTCTGTCCTCTCTGATGCGGGTCTCCACCGTGCCGCCCAGAGCCCTTGGCAGTGCGGTCTTCTCCACGCTCCCCCATGCACCAGCCTAGTCCTCACTGATAAGTGCGGCCTAACAAGTGTGTATTTGGAAAAAAGTAGGGAAAATGGGATATTAGAATGGAGCCAACTGTATACACCATACGGAAATTAGGCCAGAACACGAGACAAGGCGGCACAGGTCCAGCCCCGAAGCGTCACGTGCTTGCCCAGACTCCAGCTGACCACATGGAAGGCCCTCCCGGCTCCCACCGCCCAAGGAAGGACAGGATGAGGGAGCGGGTGTGACAGACAGACACCACCGAACACAGTCTGGGCAAAGTGAGGCCACGGTTACGGCACTGAGAGCTGAGAAGGGTTAGCGGTTAGCAAAGGGGAGCTGTGTTAGGAGGGGTCCTGCTCGGGTCCCAAAATTCTATGAACTGCCTCTTCATCTGGCCCGGGTCAAGCAGCAAAAACAGTTAAACTGATACCCTTTCTAAATGCCTCCAGCTCCACGTTAGTCCGGCAACGCCGAAACCGTTAGGAGTAACGATGCACGTGAGAGATGCTCCTGCACACAACCTATGCGAGTCCTAGTTAAATACCAGGAACAGCGAACATGCACTAAGTGCCCTCTGCAATCATTCTGGCACCTCCACTTCAGGCTTACCCTCCCCATCCACCTCCTCCACACCTCGTAAGACAGCGCTTTAGAAAACAAAAATCACTGTCTAACTTAGGTACGTCAACGTAAGATTTTATTATGGGAGTCATGCTTTTATCCCAGGATTCTGGTACTTTCACCACGACCACCATGAAGTCATCTCCACATCACACCTAACAGTCTCATATATTCATATATTAATCGGCAAAACTACCCTGGCTCTGCCAAAGGCTCCCCCTTATGGAACAAGTTAACCCAAATGGCAAGCTCACCTGCACAGTGCTCAATCGTTTTGCTAACAGAGTAGTTTTCCATCATTTGTGATGAGAATAAAACAGCTAGATGCACCTACGGATCCCAAAGAAGGAAAGCATCCGTTTCTCTGAGAGCTGTCGACAAATCCTTACACTAGCAGCTAGTAAAGAAAGAACACAGCATCAGTGGCCGGGAGGGCAGGCCCCACTGGGCAAGAACACGCAGGGCGGAACAAGGCTGAAGTGACGAAGGCAGGCAGAGGAAGGACAAGACAGCACCCAGGAAACTGCAAATCTGAAACCTCCATTATTAATGTGGTTCAGCCGCTGGTCTTGCAGAAAACGCTGAGATAAATTGAAAAGAAAAAGTCCACCCAAGGGTGGAGCTTGGGCATCTCCAGCAAGCACAGCCTCCCGTCTACAGAGAAGTAACAGGACTACTGGTGACGTTTTTACAGACACAGTTCTCCAAGTTCTATCAAGCCTAAATAAGGAAGCCTAGAAAAACTACCTTTGATTTGACTTCATCTGCACTAAATGAGTGTTAAGAAATAACTATTAATTCAGTTTGCTTGGTTACCTTAACATCACAGAGGAATACCTAAGGAGGGTTGTCACTAGAATTCTCCCTTAATAAATTAATAGATTAGCATCCTGTTCAATTCTCCAGCCGACCACAAGTTTGGCTGGTGTGAATAAGTCCACGGAAATTTATCAAACCTGAGAAGACTGATAAAATCACATTCCTAAACCTAAAATGGGGGCGCTAGTGACCAACCTGACAAACCATCATTAGAACAACTTAGACTAACGGCTACCCCGGGCCAGAGACTGAGAGCTCAGTATTTGCTTCCCCAAACTAAGAGTGAGGTACCATCATCCTCCCCACTCCACTGTGCGGTGCGGGTGCCCAAAGAGGTCATGAAGTGCGTCAGCGACAGCCACACAGCATGGCAGGAGCAGGCTCCAGAAACACGCTGCTACCCCGCCACACGCTGCTGCCCCTCCTCCAGGCACGGCGTCACGGAAAGGGAGTCTGACACTGGTTCTCTTCTTTACAACAGGTATGAGAAGAGTGCCGGGAGAAACAAATGGATGGACAAACAAGAAGAAGTCAGCTCAGAGGGGTCAGTGACGCGCCGCATGGCATTCAGACACAGGTGTTCTCAAGGCCCCAGTGCCCGCAAGGCAAGGCTGACCTTGGCTGGGCACCGATCAGTGGCATCGCCAATCCGTCCCTGAGCGACGGGAAGGCCTGGGCACCGATCAGTGTCATCGCCGATCTGTCCCCGAGCGACGGGAAAGCCTGGGCACTGATCAGTGGCATTGCCAATCCGTCCCTGAGCGACGGGAAGGCCTGGGCACCGATCAGTGTCATCGCCGATCTGTCCCCGAGCGACGGGAAAGCCTGGGCACTGATCAGTGGCATCGCCGATCGGTCCCCGAGCGACGGGAAAGCCTGGGCGGGCGCAGCGGGACAGAAAGAGGCCGGCCTTTCAACCTGACAGCTGTACCTGTGAGTGAGTTATTTCACATCTAGGTGAGCTCCAATGTCCTCAATCGTAAAAGGCGACGACAGGCATGCTGAGGAGTAAACAAACCACGGAAAGCAGCTCCCAGCGCCCGGCACACGCAGGTGACCCACAGTCCGAGTCCTTTCAGTCCCTCCCACCGGCTGTGGCTCTTCTGAGATGTGGCTCTTCACTATTCTAGGTCCTCTCTCCTTCTCTGATATAAAGCTTCACGCATAAAAATAAAAACAAATCTGAGCCCAAACTTCCAACAACAGTATCTGACTCTTGCAGTTGCAACTGTCTGTTCTCAACTGATAAGAACTCTAGAAAACAAAACCGCACTTGTAAAAAACAGGCAGGAAGTCTCGACGACAGGGACAAGATTCCGATAACGCTGCAGCCAATACAGTTCGGATCTTACAGAGACAAACGTTTCCTTAAAGAAGGAGTCCTCCCTCCTTAGTGCTGGCTGACACAACCGCACCCTATTTACAATAAGCACACTGCCGCGGGTCCTCCGGTGTGCGCAAAGTGCCTGCTTGCTCCACTGTATTTTCAGAACAAATCTGTCTGGAGCAGGGGGGAAGGCAACTGCTCAAACCACGTTGCTCAGCACAGCCCCGCCTAAGGTGTCGACGGCAATGACTCAACCAAGGCGAGGGAAGGGGCAATCCAAGAATCACTGTTTCCTTTCCTTAACGGTTATTTTTCCTGACAGGAAAACAAGTTTCTCTTTTTCCTCAAGGTATATGCTTACCCTGACATAAACTCTTCCCTCAGAAACATGATCACTAATGATGAGGGTGGGGGTTAGGAGTTAAGGGTTAGGGGTTAGGACAACAGAAATGGAACACTACTTGGGGCCAATTTAATGACAGCTCTGGAACAAAATTATTTTAATGTTTATCAGAAAGAATAGACCAAAAAGAAAAAAAAAAACACAGAAGGCTATATTATGAAATTGCTAGAA